GAATATTCGTCGTTGAATGTTGATGTTTGATGACGCAGCTTAATTACTCATGTTCAATTCATGCTCATTCTCAATTCAGGGCTCTGGGAACTAGATTGCTTTGATTGCTTTGATTGCACACCACTGATCTATATAATAATATATAGCTCAGTGTTGCACACATGCACGTGCATTGGAATTTTGAAAACGAGAATAAACGTCATCAAGTAAGCAAGAATACGTCATTGATATGGAACGACCGCTCTCAGTGAACGTTTTCGGCAAGCAAGATGAAGCTTTTCTTTTCATAAAAAAATTGCTATTGTAAATACCAGTGTAATTTGACTACATGCATTCACTGTTGGATGTATATTATCATAAACTCCTAAGGCAGGAAGCCAGTAAAGTACCAACGATCAACAGATACGACCAAAAAAAAGTTTTCCATTAAAAAAACAAAACAAATACGCCATAGTTTCAATCGTTTTTACCATATTGCCAATGAGTCTCGATAACATAAAAACTGTTCTCCACCGCTCCCTTTCTTGCCCCAAAGCAAACAAGAAACACACACAAGTTCAGAAAACATTTATTTCTTTAAAAAGTTCCAAGGGCATCACGCTGTCCAGCTTCTGCTTTCCAAAAAACCAAACTTCGGTGAATTCGCGCGACAAGTTACAAAAACTTCACCTACCTTGCGAAATTTCACCATTACGAACATAGAAGTCTTGTATATTTGTTCTATGGTAATTTGATTGGCTAATTTATTTTATTCCATGCAATCCGACTTATCCTATTGGCTGGCATATTTCGTTCCATGCAATCTGATTGGCTAAATCAAACCTAGCTTTGGGTGCGTCAGCGTCAGTTACAAGTGACGAAACAAACAAACACATTGCGACATTCCAGTTTTGTTTGGTGAAATATGATTGGTTGGTTCTTTAAGGTTCCATGCAATATGATTGGCTATTAGCTTTGTAACACGTCACCATGCGCAGTGATTGGTTCTCGAAATTGTTCCAAGCATTTGACTGGCCCATCATTTTGTTCTTTATATTTAATTGCTTGATCAACTTTATTCTAATTAATTTGATTGGCTAATGCAGTAATTAATCAACGCGAATGTTTCTATTTAATTACTGTCGTCATAAACAATCCAAAAGACAATCCAATGTCTTTTGGATTGTCTAACCCAAAATAAAAATACAGACTACGCGAAAAAACCCTGCATATTTAATCATTAAAAATTTTAAATGAAGCTCTATGTTGCCGAATACTGAGATAGATTTCACAATTATATACCCTTTGACTGTTTCCGAAATTGACCGGGTGATTTCATAACCATATGAAAATTATTTGGTTAATTGGTTCCGCTGTTTTTGTTTTTGTTTTTGTTTTTGTTTTTGTTGTTTTTTTGTTGTTGTTTTTTTTTTCATTTGAAAGATTTTCGCCATCGTATTCGTTTGGTTTTATATCCAAGTCGCGCTTTACCGCGGGCGAAATCGCGCTGATTCAAGAATGTGGTTCGATGTCACCCTGTCTTATGAACCCAAGACTATATTATATTAAACTCATTAATAAACTCACCAGTGACGAGCGTCCATATGTTGGAGGCGAAGGAAGCCAAGTGGTTCATTATATATTTAAAACCGAATATCTTGATATTCGGAAAAATTCATTTTTCTCACTAAAACTCGCGGTAAGAAAAATAAGCGTCTGATACTAATTAAAGCTTTGACATAATGAGATTGTTACGTAACGTAATTGCTTTAATCAATTGGCCACTTAAGGTAGAACGGTGATGTTTTGCTAGGTTCAATTTCCGGGGGTTAGAAGTTCGTATATATGTTTCCGTGAGAAACAAATAGAATTTTTACCAGTAAGGTTAGAAGAAAGAAATCTTCTTGCAAAACAATCTGTTTGAATCGAATAGACCTTTTACGTCACAACAACATAGAAGTGAGGTTGATGGAATTTAACGCGATTGCGGCGCTAATGCTTCGTATGTCATATGAGGAGGGGACAGAGAAATTTTATTGACAACACGTTACACCGCACAATTTTGGAAAACAAGACAAGGACGATAATGATTATCGCGCGAACAAGTGGAAAAATACGTTACGTAATATTGCCGACGTTCAGAAGTTCAATTGGGACTGTGCCATATATTCGAGGGTGTTATACATTCGTTTTAGGGCGGGTTTTTTTCACTAAGCGGAATTTTTCAATCGCACAAAATTGTGCGAATTTGACCGCAGCGAATTTCCTGGACTGGTCACATTCGAAAAGAAGATCAGGCGAAAAATTTCGTTTGATCGAAAAGTCCAGCCTGGTAGATTGTCGGTGATGACTGGAGAAATAAAGTGCTTTGTTATAATGAATATAAATGTTCTTTGTCGCCGATTACTGACAATACATCGCCAACTGTAGGTGATTAGTGAAAGCCAAGCTTTATGCCTGACACAGGGCCGGATTAATAACCATATGGCAGAAAGGGCGTCCGCCAACGGGCCCCGCGCTTTGGGGGCGCGCTCTTCTCAGTTCTCAGTATTTTTTTTAGGCGCGTGGGGGGACGGAAAGAGGGCCCCAAATAAAATAACGTCATTCCAAAAAGCGAGGCCCCATAAATAAAAATGCCTGTAAACCTTATATTATAAGCTATTGGAGCAAAATATACAACGCGACGCCTTAGAAATCAAAAGGCGTGGCCCAATAAGGCACCCCTGCAATGCAACGAAATAAAGCTTCTCCCAAGAAAATTGTAGGGTGATGGGAACATTTAGAAATTGAAGACTTGAAGTAAAGGCAGGTCCGCCCAGAGGGCGGGGTTCAAAGGGAACAATTTTCCCGGCGATCCAGGGTTGCAAGGGCCCCAAAAAAGCTACAAGAATGAAATTAAACTGTTGTTGGAAGTATATAGTCCTCTTTCAGAAAACGTTCTTAGGTTATTCATAGTTTAGGTAATGCAATATATATTCCATGTTGCAGAAATCTCACCCCCAAAACGCAGGAAATCGCATTTCCTGCACTCTAAAACTTCAAAATTTTCTTAGGGAGGATACCCCCAAACCCCCCTAATTATCTAACGGTAACTATACGTAGTGGGATAAATGCAGTTTTTTACATTTAGCTTGGGATATTTAACCAGAGCCATCGTTAGTAGTCATTTGCGCGAGAAAAAGAAAACACCACTTGTACCTAGCTGTACCTAGCTGTCCCCTCCCCGTACCCGCTTTCCATTCCTCGCAAATTGCAAGTATAATGATTTACTGATCTGTCGCTATACTATTATTATTGTCTTTATTGATCGTGAAAAGTGACAACAATTTTCTATATACAATAACTATTTTTTTAAGGTGAAAATACACACGCCTTATAAAAGTATAAATATATCCAAGATACATTTTTATAGATCTGATTTGTGGCTACAAAACTGAGTAACGTGCGTTGGGTAAAACATTTTGGAAAGTCAAAACATCTCGTTCTGATTCTTGATGAATATTTGTATATGCGTATTATATTTCGACCCGAATAATATAATACTGTTCAAAAAATCCTAAAGGAACAAAAATTTCAAATATGGAATTTTTTAGTGGCGCAGATCAGGCATATCCTTTGGCCTACATACGCTTTGAGCGCATGAGCAAGCCATTTTGCAGAAGACGTAGACGTAATCGTCGTCGTAGACGTTCTTAACGTGGATAAGTATACCACTTCATGTAAGTACTGCGTACGTGTGCCAAAGCCTGGTTTACACTTGTTTTAAGAGCAGAAGATTCCCACATCGTCATGAGTTCATAATTATTATCATTAGAGTAAAAAATAAGGCTTTGTCTGTCGGAAGAATTTCCGTTTCTTGTGTGAGCAAGTTTGGTAATTTCCCGAGGAACTTTTGTGCACAGAAGTTACATGTTGCATTTCTTTCTTGTTTAGGATTAAAAACTGGACACACTGAAGTGTATGGACAACATTAAAGTGATAACCTTTAAATTACTGGCCATCCTTTCCAAAGTTTAACTGTAGAATCATTAAAAATCATGCATTGACTATACTTGTGTTTGTGTTTTGTTTTTGTGCGTGTGTGTGCGTGGACACCGCAGAAATTGGTGTTGGAAGTCAAATATCTCATCAGTTGCTCACATTTGAATCCTAGTATTCAGAAACTGCTGTCAAAGAAAATACTATCAAATAAGTTGAAAACAAGTTCAATTTTTCTTCCAATATCGGTTTTGGAAACTTTTGAAGGCTCTTCGTATGCATCTGCCACCGTAAAATGGCCATTTTGAGACATTTTCAGACATTTTCAGATGATTTGTTTTTGCCGTGTGCAAGCTTCAAATCTTTTGTGCAAGAGATATTTTGTTGAGTATTTATAAATCTTTTAGCTTGCCGAATTTAAAGTCTAAGTATTGAGAATTACGGCTAAGTCTACCAATTTCCGCGGTGTCGTGTGCGTGCAAGTGAATCAGTGAACAACATTTTTTTATTTTTTCATTTATTTACTTATTTTAACTTCGCCAGTAACATGCATTCATGGCAGGGTTACCACAACAGCGCGGCACCAATTACTGTGGGTCCTATAAATTAATAAGATACAATACTGTCAATACACGCTATGAACAATGCCCTTAAACGTGACCTTTTTGCTGGAATAGGCCGAATAGCCTAGTTTACATATATTAAAATTAACGTTATACATTGAATACATTGAATTTCAGCTGTGTTTCAGTGCTAGCCTATATGCCTGTCCCAGGCTTCAAAGTTGATTTTACTAAGATCAAAAAGTCGTATATCGTACAAAAGAACACGCAACTAAATAAAAACCTGCTTTAATTCTTAATTCTAACTCTAGTAGTCTAGTAACTATAGTTTTTTGTTGTAATTTATGAATTATTTACTTAACATGGTTAAACATTTTGTATATTTGTGATATTAGATTGATTAATTTATGATTAAATATACGATAATGCAATTTAATTTATGGCAACTTTATAGTAATGTAAAAAGACATCTTTGTAGGTTTATAATTCTGGCATGACATGGAGTGCGAGGTCACCAGACGCATTGGCTGGAGCGCTGATCAAATCATTGGGCTCATGTTGTCGACCAAACCGCTGAGACATTAATCTGTTATTATTTTGAATTGCCTCTGGCTGCATTCGGATTTGCTGTTCCTCTCTGTACCAATCATATCCTCCACGTCCTATGAGACCCCCACCAATGATGCCCACGAATAAACTTGTCACAAGTCTTGCTGGTGCAAGAGCATACCCAAAAGCAAAACCAGCAAGAAGACCAAGACCCGCTCCGATTTGAGTGCCAGGTTTAGGCTTGATTGTGACTACCCAATGGTAGATAACACCAAAGAATCCTAGAAGTATGGCCATAATTTCCTTCAAAGCTGTTACCTTGCTTTGCCAGAAGTGTGGATCCTTCAAATAACTCTGAAACATTTCAAGGTATGGGCCTAACACAGTTACTGTATTATCTGTATCGGGGTTTAGCAATGCATTCGTAATCATGAGGAAATTTCGAGTGTTTAAGAAAACCTCGGCCAGTAAGGAATCGGTGGCGCTTTCCATGAACCATTTGTTGTGTAAATACGTGAAAGCTTTTTCAAGTTCGCTGATCAGAACTGTATAGCCATCAAAATCATTCTTCTCGAATTTTGCGGGATTAACGTTGACATAACGAGGGAACTTGGGTTGAACTGTTGTAGTCTCAAAATCTCTCCATTCTTTGTTTGTTTAGCCGTTCGAAGATGTATAGCTTTCATTTCAGACAGCTGTCGCTCTGTAATCCATTCCATTCTCGGCTGTGTGCGTTGTTCATGATTTATCTTTAAACCGCTCTTCAGTTGTATATTGTCGCATATTTCTTGTATTAACTTGCTTATGGCCATGATTTTTATCACCACTTTTATAGTAAAAGGCAGTTAGAGTTAGGAAAAAAACAACCGAGTCACTGTTGCTATAGAGCAAAATATAAATGCTAAAACGTCGTTATGAGAGACCTGCAAGGCAGCTGCCATGCACGCATGTTATCGCGTGCTGATTGGTCGAGTAGCGTGTTTCTATAACTGTATAAAAACACGGGAATTTTCCCGCGAACTTGACGAGCGAAGCGATGTAATAAGAATTTGTAATTGAATCGAATATTTGTACAATTTGAGTTATATCATAAAAGAAATAGAAAACTTTTTCCTGTGTTTCTATACAGTTTTAGTATACACCCGACTATTGTTTATTACAAATCCTACATTTTATTGGCCACTCAACCATCATTGTCTATTCGTGATTGTGAACGTTTGGGAAAAATTCGCTCGGGCGACCGTATAAAATTGAATTAATTAAATTATTATCGGTGTAATTGCGGTGTATCGATTATTTTCTAGAAATTAATATATCTAGGTACAGGGTGTATACTAAAACAATTAGACAACTCGCCTTCGTTGTCTCATGATGAGCGAATAGTCAATGAAGGCGAAGCCTGAGTTGACTATTCACTCATAGACAACTCGGACTCGTTGTCTAATTGTTAAATAGAAACACTTGTGAGTTGTGGGAGTTCGTGAGAACTCGAAATAACTCGAAATAGTGATTATTTCTCGTTCTCCCAAATTCCCAGGCGTGTTTCTATAACTGTATGTATAGTTCGATTTACAGTGCATAGCTGTACATTTGTTCGATGTACAGTACATTTGTTTTAAAAGCCTGGGTCTGGGACAGGCCACTTTATACGAAAATGATCAGTTAGGGACACAAGTTTCGAAAAACGAATATTCAGTTGTATATCGTCGCATATTTCTTGTATGAACTTGCTTATGGCCATGATTTTTATCACCACTCCTAGTAAAAGGCAGTTAGAGTTAGGAAAAAAACAACCGAGTCACTGTTGCTATAGAGCAAAATATAAATGCTAAAACGTCGTTATGAGAGACCTGCAAGGCAGCTGCCATGCACGCATGTTATCGCGTGCTGATTGGTCGAGTAGCGTGTTTCTATAACTGTATAAAAACACGGGAATTTTCCCGCGAACTTGACGAGCGAAGCGATGTAATAAGAATTTGTAATTGAATCGAATATTTGTACAATTTGAGTTATATTATAAAAGAAATAGAAAACATTTTTTCTTGTGTTTCTATACAGTTTTAGTATACACCCGACTATTGTTTATTACAAATCCTACATGCATTTTATTGGCCACTCAACCATCATTGTCTATTCGTGATTGTGAACGTTTGGGAAAAATTCGCTCGCCCCACCGTATAAAATTGAATTAATTAAATTATTTTTCGGTGTAATTGCGGTGTATCGATTATTTTCTAGAAATTAATATATCTAGGTACAGGGTGTATACTAAAACAATTAGACAACTCGCCTTCGTTGTCTATGAGCGAATAGTCAATGAAGGCGAAGCCTGAGTTGACTATTCACTCATAGACAACTCGGACTCGTTGTCTAATTGTTAAATAGAAACACTTGTGAGTTGTGGGAGTTCGTGAGAACTCGAAATAACTCGAAATAGTGATTATTTCTCGTTCTCCCAAATTCCCAGGCGTGTTTCTATAACTGTATGTATAGTTCGATTTACAGTGCATATAGCTGTACATTTGTTCGATATACAGTATATTTGTTTTAAAAGCCTGGGTCTGGGACAGGCCACTTTATACGAAAATGATCAGTTAGGGACACAAGTTTCGAAAACGAATATAAAATGTTTATAAGGTAACGAAGTATTTGCACTTCGAGAACACGTATAAATAGAAAATAGTTTAGAAACAAAAGAAGTCATAGAAGTCATAACTTTTTTACCAGTTTTATAACACTAGTTAACTTTTAACTGTAGTTAAGGACAGAATTGGCCAATTGGCCAGAATTGGTCGTGTATTTCTGAGTTAATTAGGATTTAGCTATATGCAAAATGTATAGTTAGTGAGTTTTATACAACCGGCCCCAAACTGTTCTGCAACAGTGAAACCAGTTTATAGAGTGCAATATTTCTAGACAAATTCTTTTCATAAAATATGAGACCAATACTTTAGAATTGTGGAACAACTAAGAGGTTGCGTGCCCTTTTAGCAAAGTCATCTAAATAATACAGGGAGTATGCAACGCTTTTTTATTCATCTTTATATATATATATATATATATATATATATATATATATATATATATATATATATTTGTGCATTTTTTGCTCTTAATTGAGCCATGTGTTCACTTGTGGATATATATGTGTAAGGTGTATTTGTTCTTCTACACAAGCATGACCAACCGCGTAAGCAGAAAACTCTACTTGACCGCGGTGGGAATCGAACCCGCGACCTTCGCATTTCTAGAACGATGCTCTACCGTCTGAGCTACAAGGCCAACTTGGCCTTGTAGCTCAGACGGTAGAGCATCGTTCTAGAAATGCGAAGGTCGCGGGTTCGATTCCCACCGCGGTCAAGTAGAGTTTTCTGCTTACGCGGTTGGTCATGCTTGTGTAGAAGAACAAATACACCTTACACACATATATATATATTTATATATATTATATATATATATATATATAATATATATATATATATATATATATATAATATTATATATATATATATATATATATATATATATATATATATATATATATATAGGGTCTATGATCAATATTTTTAAGAGCTCAAAATCTGGCAGTGGGTAATTTGTATTATATTTTGAACAACTTATTTAGAATATACTTGAATAAAGTGTATTCTGTATTGATTAAAATGGAATAACTCACAAATACATAGCTCAGTTTTAATTATTTTTCCTACAATGACTGTCATTTCTTTTAGTCAGTGGTATCTGCATGGAACCTCGAAATTTCCCGAAAAATCTATAAATTTATCCAAATCTATAAACAATTAAATATATCAAAGTATATTTTGCTTTTAGGTCCGTTTAATGAGCAGAAATCTTTGTTTGTGTTCGTGCATTCGATACGCCGGCGAATAAAAGTTCGACGTCTCAAACGGGAGCCTTATGCAAGAAATTCGCAACTTTAGAATTTCCCAGCTTAGAGTCCTCTGTTCTTAAACACAAACCAATTTGAACGCTTGAGAATTTGAAACGGCTTGTAGTCGAAATCATTAGAATTTCGAGTACTCGTGAAGTCTAAATTGTTTTTACATCATGAAACTTGCATGCCGTATACATCCAAGAACGTCTTTACGGAACTGGAGTTGGTATGGAGATAATCGAAGTTGAGCAAGCATTTGGGAGGGTTGAAGTGTGCTTAACTTAACTCGTAGTTTGAAGGACTTTTAAGCAAATATATTCATCAACTTTAGGTACCAAATTCATGCAATATTTTATCAACATTTCTATTGCAACGATACTGAAAAGATTTATCCAAGGGAGCAAGTGGTTAACATTTTGTGACTCCACGCTAATTTTTGTAAGCCTGGGCCTGGATGGTAACATTTCATCAATATATCTGTATAGATGTATAATAGTATAAATGATCAAAAACTTTGCCGGTTAATTACAAAAAGTAGTAATCAGAAGATGTGTAATTCTCCGTCGCTTGACCCGCTTCCTGCTAATCCAGAACATGCATTGTGGTCATGACTGATGTCTCATGATAACCGTCTAACGCGTATACGTTCGGTACTAAATTCATCACTCGTATTAAGGATATATAAATACTTCTGACCCATTCTCACTTCAAATTCGTTGTAGCTTTTTCTTTACCTCTATAAATATTTGGTTTATCATTTGTCTTTAGATGGTACTGAAAGCGTATTAATTAGTTGTGATGGCAACCAAACTCGTCTTTATTCTTTCTGCATTTGTTGCGCAATTATTCTTGAAAAAAGTGGATTTTTTGTCTAACAGTCCGATACTTATTTTGAGTTTCTTTGTGAGAAAAGAGAGAGGAAAATATGTGCACTCTGTGAGCAAGCTGTATATATATGGAGATTGCTCAAATATCACGATACGACACGATCTTGAAATTGGTTCTCACAAACTCACATCTCAGATTTTGAAAATTTAGGATGTCTAGATGCATGGGATCTTTGAATGCTCAACGATTAAATATAGTAACTATTATGTAACATCTATGTAACATTTTACCTAAAATTTTCCGCTTTCCTCAGCAGTCTATTCCATCCACAAATTGAAAAACAAAGACAGTACTCTTTAGTCCTCCTGCAGGTGGTCAACCTATTATAGGTCTCAACTAGGGTCCAGCTAACTATTGCATGGGTTCCGCAATGTTTGTTAACTTTAACTTTATTCAATTATGTAAAGTTTGTAAAATGCACGCTACACTGCACTGCAAACGTAAAAGTCTATGGTTTTAGTTTTTTTTATATAACACCTAATGTGATTTAAGGTAAATATTGTATAGTTGCGGACGAATTGGGAGGCCACAACCTTTTAGAAAACTAATCGTATAAAGCTCATTCTTTAAAAGAGTTCAGAGCCTGGACATGCATATCTGAACTATGAATTTCAGTATCCTTCAAACAAAGACTGCATGTCATTTCTTTTAATCAATAGAAACTGAATTATCCCCTGCATCGAAGAACATCTTTACAGTTCAACTGTTGTCATGGAGACAGTTTTTTCACCTCTTTAATGAATGACATATGATAAAAAATTACGACTAAATGGAGAAAGCCACAAAGACGTGAATGGGTTCATCATTAACTACTTAGCTATATGCGAGAAAATTTCTAAGTGACTGTAATAAATTAGCATCAGTAAACGGCTGGTATAAAAGTGTCGAAAACCTTCGCTTGATAACCCCAGTTTGTGGAGAAGTGGGAACAGAAGACAACGAAAAATATCTTAAGAAGAATAAAGTACAGAGATGAGGACATTGTATTTGTTACTTGCACTTGGTTTGCTGTGTGCAGTAGTTTATTCAACACCAGTCGAAGAAGATGAACCTTTGGAAAACGAGTTGAAAGAAGGTACAAAATTAAACCTGGTAGTCAAATAACAATTGCCACAAGACCAGTTCACAGTTTATCCTTTTTTTCTCCAGGAGACCAAATCAGTTTCTAAACCTCTGAAATATGTCAGCCTCTTTCACGGCATTAATGAGTTTAATTTTAAAATAGGACTTCATTTTTGGAATCTCAGTCTACAAAGATTGCAAGAAATTCATATGCAACAATTTTCAGTGTTTTAAAGACGAAAGCGAACTAATAAAGAACCAATAGTGATATACTCATGCATTTATACGATATTTTGTAGACAATGATGAAAATGCCTTAGAAGAAGACGATGAAGACGAAGACCAAATGTAAGTTTTACACCCTAGAAATTTTTGCCTCAGAATCGTTAGAATTAAAAAGGTCCCAACATATTGTGTTATAATCTTCCTTGGACACAAAATTATATTCGTGAACATAATCAGCGATGTTTTGATAAATTAGTAAAAAGTTAGGCAATCATGTTGATGCTGAAGATCGTGGTAAAAGAAGCGATTCAAGCCAGATACAGTGTAAAAGCATTACAGCAACGACCTAATTGTTCCTGTCCTCTTTTCTATTTTTTTCAGTATGACAACCAGTATACGGAATAAATATTATTTCATATTTTTTCCTTTGAATTCCTTTTCATATTAGGAATAGTTTGTGGTCAGTTCAGCAAATGAATTTGACCAGTATATATCATATCATATAAATCGTATGTATATCATTTTACAACAACAACTGCAGGCTTTGTCGCCTAGTTATAAAAAATACGGTTAGTGGTGTTTTATCAACTTGGTAAATGGTTTTTCAGCGACGAAGCTCAAGAAGATCCTGGACCTCAAAATTACCCCGGGTTCCGATACAGACACAAATACAGATACGGTCGTGGCCGCAAATATTATGGCCGCAAATATTACGGACATTACTGGGGCAAACGTTACGGACGCAGATACTGGGGCAAATATGGAGGACGCAAATATGGTCACCGAAATGGTATTCGTTACGGAGGTGGATAAAGGATAAATATACCAATTCATTGTAAGAAATATGTGTGTACTAAAACCTGGTTTACACTTTTTTAAGAACAGATAATTCCCATCATGGCTCATTCGTTAGTGATCCTTGGTTTAAATTATACCATGCACTGTCTGTCAGAATGAAATCTATGAAATACACGATTCTCAGGAGCGCACAGATAAACATCACTCCGGGCCACAAAAATACAATCTGTTATTAGTTGATGTTACTTCAATGCATACCACTTCAATGCAATACTGCATTATACATATACTGATTTACTTTGTACAAAAAAATTGGCGTCCGAGAGACACATGCAGAAATGTCAGGTTATTATTATTATGAAGGATTCGTGAGCCTCGAATTCCAGCCCTAACGATTGGACAGGTTAACATGTTGGAATTTTTATTTTCCTTTTCAGGAAGAGACTGGACGCAATAACGGTGAACTACATTATAGTTTAAATACAACACTACATTAAATTAGTAGCCATGATTTCCAACGTGTAACCGTAGAACCATTAAAATTTATGCATCATTGAAGATACTTGTGTTCGTGTTTTGCTTTTGTTTGAATGAATAAACAATAGGTAAAGCTAGACATAAACATGGGGGTGTCCCACGGACCCCTGGTTTAAGCAGTCGTAATCTAAACACATGCAGCTAATATTCATCTGAGATGAAGAGCACATTTAGGTTAAGAAAACGGCGTGTGATATTTTCGTCTTAGCGCCGACATAGTGTAATATCATTATCTGATATATTTTTTCGCCTTCTACATGATTTGATGCTTGCTAACACGTTTAGGTCAGTCGTTACACAACAAATGTTTTTTCAGTGTCATATGGTTCAGACGCATGCGCGGAAGACGAACTGCGACACAAAGGAGATTTTCTTTTAATTTTATAAATATAGGATTCTGAATGGTGGATCTCCTCCGTTCGAACTGTCTAAAACGTTTTTTCTCTGTATCTCTCTACTACGACTCAAACAGTGTTCCGCTACTCAATTACTAAGTGCGCTACTTGTTGTGATAGGTTTTAAATTACACTTGGCGCTGGAATAAACTGTTAAGTGACGTCATGCTAAATTTATTAAAGTATATAATATTACTTATCCTAAACACCATGCCATTTGCTAGTGATTTGCAATAGGAATTCAAAAATTGTTGCATGTTTTCCCTGAACCTTCAAATTCTCTATTAGGCCCTCAAAAGGCTTCTGTACACTGTACTGCTGCTTAACTATCATCCTCAAATCATGAATAGCCTTGATTCCTTACAACTTACATACGTTCAGCAGTACGTGGGAAGGGTGAAAGAAAGCACTGCGTCACATACGAGTATATATTGACTTTTTTCGTTTTATCTTCACAAATTTAGTTCCTCTGCAGAATTGGTTAACACGTAGCCAATCAGAATGTAGGATTTGTAATAGACAATGGCGGGTGTATACTAATACTTATTAGTATACACCCGACTCATTGTCTATTACAAATCCTACATTCTGATTGGCTACTCAACCATTGTCTATTCGTGATGGTGAACGTTTGGGAAAAATTCGCTCGGGCGACCGTATAAAATTGAATTAATTAAACTATTTTTCGGTGTAATTGCGGTGTGTCGATTATTTTCTCGAAATTAATATATCTAGGTACAGGGTGTATACTAAAACAATTAGACAACTCGCCTTCGTTGTCTATGAGCGAAAAGTCAACTCAATCGTTGTGTAATTGTTAATTGGAACGAATATATAACTAATATAAGTATGTGTCGTATCTTTTTAACTAGAATTTTTCACTTCGCAAAATCCTACGTATATATGCATGGGCTTGAACATGCCTGCATGATTTCGACTTAATGAATGTTATCAGGGATTTACCAGTATTACTAATATAACGTATAACAATTGCCCTCCCACTATAGGTTTGGATATAAGGGATTTTAGTGCCTATAGTTTCAGTAGAATATTGACTGCACTGTACAAGATGAAAATAGAATTCTGTCTTCAAATTATGTAGTGGTGTAGTACAATATTTCTGATATACTGAATCATTATCATTCTAATATTTCAAACTAATTCTGCTATAAATATGATTTGGAGGCAAGTACTCAGTTAGACTCGGGCTGTGAGGCTACAAACTTTATCAACAAACTAATCGTTTAAAAATTAGCTATTATTTCTTCACCCATGCATTTATTAAATTCTGGCAAATTTGCATTTTATTTTGAGCTACATACTTCTACTGAGTTTACTATGTGGTAGATTTTTGTTGTGTTCTCCACAACGAGAGAAAAATCACCGCTTTATATAAACAAATAACTTTAATAATGAAGCTTTCTCTTTCACAGACAATCACAATTCTTTTACACTACGACTTGCTTTGCTAAGCATTGTTCTTATCACCTGTCAATCACCACTAAATATAGATGTTCAATTACTTATGTCTAATTATATTAATATTAATTATGGTTAATGTCAAATCCCTAGTTTTAACATAAATTCCCGACACACTCCCCCTATTTGAAACGTAAGATTTCAAATATAACTGTTATTTATGCCTACAACGTACGTATAATTCACGCTCTACATGTTCAGGTGTTCTCATCTTCATGACCACATATAAGTTCAATGTTTCGTCGTGCATCAACTGCAGCTTTACGTTTCGGTCGGAATTCCCTTGCCGTGGGATTCAATGGAATCTTCTCTTTCTCTTCTCGCTCGCAATGAAGTTCCATGGGGTAAAGAAATTGTATTGGCCTTTCAAGGAAGGATTTGCCTGCACGAAGCCTCACTCCTCGAACTACTGAATCTCTGCCTGATATAAGCTTTTCAACGATCCCAATCTTCCACAACCCACGATTCTTTTCTTCGCCCTTGATTAGAACGACATCCCCCCGTTTCAGTTCTCTTTCTTTGACGTTATGAGTTAGATTATGTCTTTCGCGAAGGGCTCTCATGTACTCTGCTCTCCAACGTTGCCACAATGCGTCTTTACATTTCTGTAAATATTTCGCCCTCTTACGTAGATCTCTTTCTTCAATATGCTCAGGCGATAACTCCATCAAGTAGTTAGCTTTTCCAAAAATCATCATGTTTGGCGTTAACACGGGTAGCTGGATATCGTCTTCGCAGTAAGTTAGTGGTCGGTTGTTCAATATGATTTGGATATCTAGCATCACGTCTTGTAATTCTTTAAAAGTTAGCTTCGCAGATCCTACGACCTTGTAAAAGGCTTGTTTAACCAGAGCAACCATTCGCTCGAACATGCCACCCCACCAGCTAGCTTTACTTAGATTGAACTGCCATTTCACTCCATGTTCGTTTAGATAACCATGTAGTTTCTCATTGCGTTCGATTTTCTTAATCCATCTAGAAGCAGCCACGAACGTTTTTCCATTATCAGATATGATTTTCTTTGGACGTCCTCTTGCTGCGATAAATCGTTTTAAACTCATCAGGAATTCTTCACAGCTCATGTCTGGCAGAATCTCTAGGTGGAGTCCTCGAGTTAAACTGCAGGTGTAGATAATCATGTATGCTTTACGATCAGCTCCCCCGTCGCGTTTATAGTAGATGGGTCCGGCGTAATCAACACCAGTAACCTCAAAAGGAATCTCGCCTTCAGTTCGTTCCTTAGGAAGGTTGCCTGGAGATGGAGCGGGTATTGGCGTTACGTGATATCTCTTGCATCCATAGCATTTACCTATGACCTTTTTCACGAGACTGCGTAGTGTGGGGATCCAGTAATCATCGCGCACTTTGCTCATGGTAAGTCCAACACCGCCGTGAAGGGTAAAAAGATGTGCGCGTTCCACAATCTTCTGAGATAAGAGATGCTTTGAAGGCAAATATACTGGATAAACTCCTTGAATTCTTCCCTTGCATACATAAATGCCGTCTTCGTTTTTCTGAAGATTCAATCGTTCACAGTGTTCTTTGAAATGATCAAATTTTTCACCGTCTTGTTGGGCTCGTCTAATCAGAAATTTCATTACTTCTTCGGTCTCTTCAGTTCGTAATGGCGTGCGAATTTTTTCCTTTCTCCGACAATTGGCAGCAAATCTCTTCATCCATGCCAAGATCCGCACAGCTTTCCATAGAGATGTTTTAGCTAGAAGATCGTCTACGGGATCTGATTTCCTTTGGAAGGTAGTTTTCATAACGGTCTTTACTGAGCGACTTTCAGACTCCGACACATCAGTGGGTTTAGTAACAATTTTCTCTGGCCATTCATCGGGAATATTTAGCCACGCCGGTCCGTTCATCCACGTTTCATTGGTTTGCAACTCACTTGCTCCTCTGCTCCCGATATCTGCTGGATTTTCTTGACTGGGGACGTGATTCCAAACAACTCCTTCTTTTTCGTTAATTTTTTGTACGCGATTTGCTACGAACTGTTTATATTTCCCTTGACCTTGGATCCACTGAAGACAGACAGTAGAGTCAGTCCATGCAAATACACCTCCAATGTGAAGATGACTCAAAACATTGACTACATTGTGTAGAAGATTGCTAAGCATGTGACAGCTCACCAATTCCAGACGAGGAATTGTCAGATCTCGTTTAGCCAATCTCGCTTTCGAAATCAGGAACCCTTGACTAACTTTACCAGTTTGCTTGATAACTGCATAAATTACCGCACAACAACCAAGAAGACTCGCGTCTGCGAATCCATGCAGAATCAGTTCAACAATAAGACCGATTTCTCTTGGTATCGCTCTTGGCATCGTCAAACGGATAGGTAATTTCTTCAACCAGTTTTCCCATCGTCGTTTGAGATATTCTGACAGTTCGACATCCCATCCCAGTTTAGCATCACAGATTTCCCGAAAAATTACTTTGGCTGTCAGCAAGATAGGAGATGCCAATCCCAGTGGATCATAAATTCTGGCTGTGGTTCTCAGAACAACTCGTTTCGTCACTTCGTTTTCGTGTTGCGGAAATGTCACTATCAAGGTGTCTTCTGCTTTGTTCCAGCCTAAACCAAGTAGTTTGGTTTCAGACGGGGTTGTTCCTAGACTCTCCTTCGCGTATGTAGTCTCGCCATCATCCTGTACGTCACTTTCTAGTTCGGCAATGTTCGAATGCCACTTATGCAGCTCAAACGAACCTTCTCCGAGAATTTTAACAGCATCTTCTTTCATTTCTCTTGTTTCTTCTACCGTGTCTCCCCCGAGGTTTATATCATCTACATATGTGCCATCTTTGAGCTCTCGAACACACGCAGGATAACCCTGTGAGTATTTCTCCAAATGAACGTTCAACGTTCCTCCAAGAATGAATGGACTCGGGCCCAAACCAAACATAACTCTTGTCATTCGGTAAACGATCTCTTCTTTGCTTTGCAAGTTGTTAATCCACAAGAACCTCAGCGCATCACGTTCCTCTTCCTTGATAACGATTTGGAGGAATGCTTGTTTGATGTCTCCAGCTAATAGCACAGGTTTAACTCGGTTGCGCAAGAGTATATCCACCAACTTTCGTTGAAGTGGAGGGCCAATCTCTAAGCATTCATTCAGTGACGGACTTGTTTCATTTTCCTTCGCAGAAGCGTCGTAAACTATGCGAACTTTTGTTGATTTGGCTTCCTCTCGAACAACTGGTTTATGGGGAATGTAATGTTCGTGGTGGTGCTTTTCTGATTGCGTTGGTGCGATTTCAACAATTCCTTGTTCCACTTGGTCTTCGATAATTTGATGGTATGTCTCAAGCAAGGTGGGCTGTCTCTCCAATCGCTTTTGCAGTGACTTGAATCTCGATCGCGCAACGTTAAGGTTAGTTGGTAGCTGTGAATGGCCAGCTTTCCATGGCAGTGCTGTTTCATACTTTCCATCTTCTCTCTGGATCAATTGCTCTTTGAATTCTTCAAGCACAGTTGTTTGGTCTCCTTCAGGTCGATCCTCAAGCCCCAAAACATCTAAACTACACAGTTCCAGGTAGTCTTCCTGTGTACTTCTTGTCAGCATCAAGTACGAATGTTTGGTTTCACGTCCTGGTGACATAATGGTCCACCCTAATTTCGTCTTCTCACCTACCGGTTTACCGCTGTCCCCAACTTTGGCTGGCGTTGTTGTTTTGATTCGTGAATAATCACTCGCACCTAAGATCATGTGTACCGGTAGCGTCGGTTTCGAGTCAACATCATCCATCTTTACGCCTTCGAGATGAGGATTATTAGCAATAACTTCTCCATAACGTGGGTTTGGCAAGGTTAGCAGTACTGGTCGATCAACACAGCTCACTTCGGATGACATACTGAACTTTTTATCAACGCTTCCAATTTTAACACCGTAAATATCAATCTTCTTCGAAGTACTATGCAACATCATCTCAATAGTTCGAATCTCCTGTCTGACCGGCTTCTTTTTCGTCAACTTCATCAATGTAGAAGAAACATACGAATTTCCCGATCCAGTGTCCAGAAGTGCGCGACATTTTACTCCATCAAGCTCAACAACTACAACGGGGTATATAACATTGGTTTGACTAGGTTGACACATTGCTGGATTTGGTTCGTTCTTGTCACAAATAGAAGTATGGTGTCTGCGTTGGCACTTATAACATTGGCTCTTACTCCTGCAATCTTGCGCTCTGTGTCTCTCTCCTGTACAGTTAAAACACCGTCTCTTAATGCTTAGAATTCTCTTACGCTCACCGACATCAACCACTTTTGTACACTCTCCTGATTTATGGTCATCTTCACAATAGACACATTGACGTTGTTTTGATTGCTCTTTAGTTGTAAACTGTTTATCCCTTGGCTTGAATTTCGGATGTTGGCCAGCATCTTTGTCTCCCGGTTGTAGTGGATTGCGTTCTACCCATTGCCGCAGAGCTTCGACAAGTTCAGTAAAAGTCCACTTTTTCCAGTCTCTGTCAGTTCGGATTAAATCTGCTCGAACACCCACTAATTTATCTAATGTCATTCGCACGTTGCCAACAACTTCTTCCAGTTTCCCAAGTGTCTCTAAAGCTTGAACATGTCCCAAAAGTTCATCGTAGAAGTTGTGAATCTTGGGTCTTGAAATTCCATGAATAACTGGCAGCGACAAAATTTCCTGAATATGTGAGTTCACTACTTCACTAGGATCTCCGTATCTTTGCTCCAAAAATTCCTTTGCCTTCTTATACCCAGCACTGTCAGCAGGTAACTTCTCGATCGTCGTGCGAACTTTGGGCGTGACAAGCTCTTTCAAATAAGAAAATTTGGCTTCATCTGGTATAGATGTTTGATCAATTTGAGTGGAAAAAATGCTCCAGAATCTTATCCAATCTAGATGTGTTCCTTCAAACTTCGATATTTTTAAATCCGGCAATTTTGGTTTTACTCGTTTCTTTTCCGTCATTTGCAGCTTCTTTTCCTCTAGTTGTAAAATAAATTGTTCTTCTCGGATTCTCTTCTTGTTCTCGGCTTCTTGTTCTTCTTGTCTCATCCATTCTCGAATAGCGCTTTCCTCTTTAAGTTTCTCATCGAGCGCCTTCTCCTTGCGTATGTTTTCATCATATTTTAATCTTTCATCAAGCTTTTCGACGGCCATTTCGTAGGTTTCCAATTTTAACTTATTTCCTCGGGCCCATTCATCAATTGTTTCTTCACTCTCGTCGCCATCAATCTTTAAACACTGTATTGTTTCTATTAACCCATACGCATCGTCTAGTTTACCTTTAAGCAAAGTGTATTGTCTATTTACTTTGTCACTTCCAATTTCACTATCAAGAGCTTTGGCCGTTTCTCGGTTAAAATAAGCGAGCTTTTTCAACAACGAAGTAAATTCAGCTTCCTTCGATCCGATGTCACTTGATACATTCGCTTGTTCTGCTTGTGTTTCGGTATCTTGTCGCGTTTTTCGTGTTATCATCTTGTTTAACGATGTTTGTTTACATAAAGCCGCATAAATATTTCCCTAACTCGTTTGATTGTAAATCCCGTTTCACATTCGTCCCTGTATTGAAATATGTCCCTTCGGAGGTGCCCTTTGTGGTAGATTTTTGTTGTGTTCTCCACAACGAGAGAAAAATCACCGCTTTATATAAACAAATAACTTTAATAATGAAGCTTTCTCTTTCACAGACAATCACAATTCTTTTACACTACGACTTGCTTTGCTAAGCATTGTTCTTATCACCTGTCAATCACCACTAAATATAGATGTTCAATTACTTATGTCTAATTATATTAATATTAATTATGGTTAATGTCAAATCCCTAGTTTTAACATAAATTCCCGACAACTAGTTTAGAATAACTCATAACTGAATATTGGATAGTTCAGTTGAATTTCTATAATTTTTCGTACAGGGCCACTGCTGCCGTTTCGTCATCGAGGGAGAATTAATTATTATACCACATAAAAACGTCTTTACAATTGAACAGTTGATATGGAGACAATTTCCTATATTCTTTATATCATATTTCACTTTCACATCACCTTCCAGAAAACTCACACGATTAGAAACACACATTTCTATATATAGCCAAAATAATGATACAAATTAGGATACGGAATATTTCTGTGTAAAACTACTCCAGCCTACGGGCAAAAACTCATACTGTTAACATATACAGAATTAAAAAAAATGACGAATAATGAATCTTCTAGTGTAATATTACTTCACCTTCCAGGAAAACGGTAAACTGTTCAAACACTCGCTTCTATAATTGGAAAAAATCAAAAGATGTACAACTTTGGAGTTTAAATCAAAACGTCCAAATCGGAAATTGTGATATAACGTGCTTGCGTGATATTGACTGGATTTCAATTATATTCAAAGGAAATAATAGTTCTTGATATTTAAAAAGAAAACTACAAAGACATTGATAAGAGTAGCATTTAATACTAATATATATGCTAGAATATTGTTAAGTCACTGTATAAATAATCTTAAACAGCGGGTATAAATGTATCCAAAACCGTGGCTGGATAACCCAAGTTCAGAAGTGAGAACCGACAGAAGACAACGAAAAATCTTAAGAAGAATAAGGTGCAGAGATGAAGACATTGTATTTGTTACTTGCACTTGGTCTGCTGTGTGCAGTGGTTTATTCAATACCAGTCGAAAATGACGAACCTTTTGAAAACAAAGAAGGTATACTTTAAAGATAGAAAATATAATTACTAAAGAAGATATAATATAAGCATAGTGAAATGTTAGTTGTTACCTCAAAGTTTTTCATCAATTACAGAGGATACCTATTTGTTCATTGATAATATCATTGTTAACCATGCTTAGTTTGACATGTATACTCATTTAGAAAAGATTTCCAAATGTGTTTCTTTCGGCGCTTTGTTGAAAGTAATGTTTTACATCCAAATATTTTGTTCCATGAAACGAATATCTGACGAAAACCATCAACCAGGAAAACTCGAGAAAGTTTCCAAACTCGCTTAGGCAACGCTATCACACTAGTCCACAGATTAATCTGATCGATGAATATTAATAATTAAAATGTCCAACGATGTTTGCTATACTTGATAGTAAGCAGATAAAGCAAATTTTATAATCCTTGTAGAGAATGATGAAAATGCCCTAGAAGAAGACGAAGAAGACGACGAAAAGTATGTTTTATAAATCTCTTTTTACACACGATCGAAACATTTTCACTCCTAGAGAATTAAGTCTTTTTTAATAATATACTGTATATATATACTGGGCGTTTCAAGAAAACTATGTTGCATTTCCTAATCGGATATTAAACTGCGGATTGGTGGTGTTTCTACTTATCTGCTAATGTCGTTTTTTCAGTGACGAAGCTCAAGCAGATGCTGCCTACCATGGATACGGCTATAAACGCAGAAGATATTATGGCCGCAGATATTATGGCCGCAGATATTACCCGCGCAGATATCACGGCCGCAAATACTACAGGGGAAGATATGGCTACCGTTATGGTGGTCATGGTGGTCATGGTGGTCATGGTGGTCATGGCGGCCGTGGACCATATATATGATGGATAAATATGGCACGTGATTGTAAGTAAAGAGTTTAACCTCTAGTCTCGTTAGCAGTGATCATTAGTTTAAATAATACCGGACTATGTCTGCCAGATGAAAATAGAATGTACACTTTTTTGCGCCTTGATTCTTTGTATAGCAGTTCGTTTTAGAAGCTGTAATCATTCACAACAACCAATGGTCTAATTTAACTGGGGAGGGGGACTTTTTGGGACACCCTGTTCAATACAAAACACCCAAAGACACAGAAATGATCAGTTCATTAAGCTATGGTGACTAGTAATTACATCATTGTTAATGACCATTCCCTTATTAGCATGCAGTAAGGGGATTTGTACTCTGGGGGGATATATGAGTTTCCTTCATATTCGAATCTTGTTAGTTACATGTTTCATTTTATTTCTTGTTCAGGATAAATGACTGGACACACTGAAATGAATGGACACCACATCAATGATAGTTAATTAGCGTGTAATTGTAACAGACTATTAAAACTTAGTTTTGCATTAAAGATACCTCGTACTTTGCTGTTGCATGTGATTCGTATTTACTGCTTCACCCCACGACAATGGTTGTTATCACGTTTCAACGACTTTTTATAGCCTTTAATTTAACAAGTTGCTGATGTTTGCAGGGTGTAGCACAACATTGTTGCTACCACTGAAAAACACTTGAGCTTTTTTGACCGTGTAGTTTTCCAACAAAGGACACGTTCAGTGGTAAATGTATAATCTTGGTTGTCATGGAAACAAACTCATCTTTGTTCTTACTTCATTCGTTTCCGTAATTGTTCTAGAAAAAAAATGGGAGTTTTTCGGTACTGTCGTCAAGTTACCAGCACGAAACATTTTCTCTTTCTATTCAGTCCTTAACCGCCACCTTTTCCCAAACAACGAAATCCATAACTATATATCCATTTTCTCTTTAACTTTATCTGGAAAGCTTTAGTTTTGAAAGGCAGGAAGAGCACAAGAATCACAACGTCATTTATGAACATAATATATATGTATCGTTTAAATTTCGATTCTTATAAATATTGTAGGGAATATACATATATTCCTTCTGGATTAGATATACGTGTTTATAGCATATTGATATAAAGGATTAACTCATAACCGCGAATAATTCAGTGTATGTCTTTCGTGCAATTGTGCAAAGACTATCATTTTGTTTAGTCATGCAATGCAGGAAATTGAATGATCATGTGCACCTATTGAAGAACGTCTTTACAATTCTACAGTTGGTTGGTGTGGAAACAGCTGGTGTGTTGTAAAGTATTTGAGAAAAGTTGAAGAGTACTTGAAAATTGTGTCAAGTTTGAAGGGCTAAAGAAATTAAGTCGGTATAAACGTTAAAAATAGATTTATTCGAGTGAGCAGTAAACAGTGCGTCTCCAGGCCGATTTTCGTAACCAAAGCTTATTTGTTCATGTATAGCCATAGGTGCATGTAGAGTTTTATTTTCTTCTGGGGGGGCTCAAACTTTAGATACATGATATCTAGCTAGCAACACCTTTTGACATTAGATACAATTAAATAAGACTTTTTCTCTTAATATATGGTTGCATCGGTTCATGGTTTATATGGCCGATAGGCGGAGAAAATATTTACCATTGGTTATGACCTGTTGTCGGTAGTTATAAGTGTTCCATACCGCATGCTTTAGTTAGATAAAATAAAAGTGTGAAAAGTGACAACCTAAATGCATTTCTTATGGCTAGGCTAACTTAGTTATATACTTCATTTAAGCCGATCCCCTGCATCACGAAGTCCCCCTGCATAAATAAGGATACACGGAAAGTAGTGGCTGCGGATCGAAATTCCGTATATCGCAGTTGCTTTTCCGAGTTGTTTGATATATTATTTTATGATACACTATAGTAGTAAAAGCATTTTGATTGGCTAATAGTTGACAAATAAATCACGCAATCACGCAAAATTCAGTTATCTGCTACCAGATAACTGAGTTATCTGCAAGTGAGCCTGAAGTGGTTAACAAGCGGTATTCATTTGAATGTATTTATGTATTAATAATTTATATATTTTTGGATGTTGCTATTAAATAAGGCTTTTCATTCGTTAATACTATGTTTACTATTCTTCAAATGTATAATAAAACAATTATTGAATTCAGTTTTTGTGATATGCAGAGTTATCAAGGTCTCGGTAAGCGTTATCAGACTCGCCTTTGGCTCGGCTGATAACGCTTAGCTACCTCGACCTTGATAACTCTGCATATCACAAAAACCTCATCCAATAATTGTTTAATATTCACTAGTAATACCGTTTCATGTGTACATAAGGATGCCTTTTCAAAGATTCAACATTGCTCCGATACAATTATTACCTTCTGGAAAGTTTCTAGGCCCCCATACTCTACGCCGCCTCTGTGTTATATGTGTAGCTACGTACTGATCACAAATCACCTAAAACTAAACTTTTGTTCTGTGAAATGGACAGAAAAAGAAAGCTGATTGTAGGGTAAATTAACATAAATTGCCATAATCAGTAATCAGAGTGAGCAGTTCTCGTTTTAGAGACAGTGATGTGATATAACTTACATTGAGTAATATATGTGTTTGGTGATGGGCCATAATATGTGCATTGATGTGCAATATATGCAAGACATGAAGACAAAAAATTACTTATATAATTACATTGAATTTTCCATCAACATCATTAGATACATTACGCTCCGAAAGTTCAGTCAAACATCTCAGTGGTGACAGACACGACCCTGAAAAGGTAGAAACTGGAGAAATGTCCAGCAAGGTTTAGTGCCTTAGATCAAGGAATAATACTAAACTTTTAGCAAGATTCTAAGTCTAATTCGGTAACTGGGTCGGGTGAGCAACTCTGTTAATATGATTTAAGGCAAATACTATAGAATTGAGAACGAACTGAAGACTACGAAGACACTCAGTAATCTGATCGTATAAGGATTTTACAAAGACTTTCCATGTAATTAATCTTTCAGTTAAGCAGTTGTTATGGAGACAGTCGAAGTGAAGCGAAGTGTTTTTTCAAAGTCGAAGTATACTTAAAAACACTGCCAAGTTTGAAGGACTTAAAAACAATAAGTTGGTAAACTCACGCAAGCGGTGAATATTTTGTCTCCACCTTGTTTGGGAAATTGACAAAAAGCAATTGCGACTTGTGATGAAAAATGATGATAATTTCTAAAATCAGAGATGGATCAAAGAGCGAGAGTAGTCTAAGTATTTTGTCGTTTTGAGACAGTGAATCTTTCGTTGTCCTCTGCGATGATGACAAGTGTTTGAATGTATTATGGAAAACATGATAGCCTAGCTAAGGAAGATTTGTGTAAAATCACGCCATACAGTTATATCTAGCTAGCAGAAGAGATAATCAGCGGTTAGACATCTCAATGGTAACAAAAGTAAATCGATCGAGGAGTATTAATTTTCGAGGAAGAGTACTTTTAATAAGATTCCAAACCTTCGGTGACCTAAGTTTGAAGGACACTTTTATTAAAGATTATTTTAAAGACCAGAGGCAATATAATATTGTTTGTTTTTCTCCATTACATTTTCATTTAAAGAGTAGCTTTAAAGTTTGTTATGACTTCATCCACGTAAGCTGACTTCCTTATTTTCACAAGGTCATGAAAACAGGGGCGCCGCGAACGTGCTAGGATTGGAAGGTGTAATTGTGATATTGACCAACTTCTTTAACGAAAAGTTAATACAAAATAGTGAAAATTTGAATTCAAATTTACTCCCCCCCCCTCTGGAAATCTTCGATAGATAAGCAACATTGTCTTAAAAGTTATTATGAAATTGCAAAGCTACCTCACCGTTAGTTACATCCATATGCTTAAAAAATTGTCGTGAAGTTGCCTCATTTGAAGGCCGGTCGTGAGAATGGACGATCTGGGACCACAAGTTACGCATAGCAATTGAGTATTGTATCGCTTGTGATGTTCCTTTGTCTTGCAAACGCATCGTCGAGCTTGACGCTTCGTGAATCTAAACTCCCTATATATTGACGCGAGTCCACGATAAATACGGCCTAAAGGAAAACAAGCTTAAATACCAAACCTTAAAAATAGATTTATTCGATTTTCGTACGCAAAGCTTGTTTGTTGATGTATAGCTATGTATCACAAATCACCTAAAATCTTTGTTCAGTGAAATGGACAGAAAGAGAAAGCTATGTGATTGTGCGGTAAATTAACATAAATTATAAAGCAGGAATTTTTTTCCCGGGAAGACATGAAGATGAAGAATTATTTATGTATATAATTACATTGAATTTTCCATCAACATTATTAGATACATTACGCTCCGAAAGTTCAGTCAAACATCTCAGTAGTGACAGAGACGACCCTGAAAAGGTAGAAACTGGAGAAATGTCCAGCAAGGTTTAGTGCCTTAGATCAAGAAGTAATACTAAACTTTTAGCAAGATTCTAAGCCTAATTCGGTAACTGGGTCGGGTGAGCAACTCTGTTAATATGATTTAAAGCAAATACTACAGAATTGAGGACGAACTGTGAGACTACGAAAACACTCAGCAATCTGATCGTATAAGGATTTTGCAAAGACTTTCCATGTGTTTAATGTCGCTTAACTGCATGAGCAGTTGTTATGGAGACAGTCGAAGTGAAGCGAAGTGTTTTTTTCAAAGTCGAAGTGTACTTAAAAAGACTGCCAAGTTTGAAGGACCTAAAAACAATAAGTTGGTAAACTCAAGCAAGCGGTGAATATTTTGTCTCCACCATTTTTGGAAATTGACAAAAAGCGATTGTGATTTGTGATCAAAAATGATGATAATTTCTAAAATCAGAGACGGATCAACTGAGAGCGAGAGTAAGTTCTTTGTTGCTTAGAGACAGTGAATTTTTCGTTGTCCTCTGCGGTAACAGAGTGTTTGAATGTACTATATGGAAAACTTGATAGCCTAAGGAAGATTTGTTTAAAATCACGCCATGCAGTTTGGTACCAACTTTTCATCATAGAAGTTGGTCAATATCACAATTACATTCTCCAATCCTAGCACGTTCGCTACGCCCATGTTTTCATGACCTTGTGAAAATAAGGAAGTCAGCTTACGTGGATGAAGTCATAACAAACTTTAGAGCTACTCTTTAAATGAAAATGTAATGGATAAAAAAACAATATTATATTGCCTCTAGTCTTGAAAATAGTCTTTAATAAAAGTGCCCTTCAAACTTAAAATCTTTCACGCGCCCATTTAGGTCACCGAAGGTTTGAAATCATATTAAAAGTACTCTTCCTCGATACACTCCTCGATCGATCCTGGATCGATTTACTTTAGCTATCATTAAAATGTTTAACTGCTTACTATCTCTTCTGTTTGCACCAAATAGTGAAAATTTAAATTCAACTTTACTCCCCCCCCCCTGCAAATCTTCGATAGATATAAAGCAACGTTATCTTCTCAGTTATATGAAATTGCGAAGCTACCTCACCGTTAGTTACATCCAATATGCTAAAAGATTGTGGGAACTACAGATAAATAATTTTTCTGTATAATACCACTTCATGATATATTCCAGTTAAACTCCACCCTCCGGAAAAAACTTGAACTATTGCAAATAGCAAAATAATGAAAATATACGTTTTTGTCGTATAATATTTCTCAAGTATTTGCAACGGAAACTGTCATAACGTGATGCTGAATGCATTTCAATAATACGGATGTGCAAGTGGTGGCTCTTGATACTGCAGAAGAAAATTACAAAGACATAAATGAGTTTCTTAATGCTAGTTTGCTAGAATGTTGCTAAGTGATTGTATAAATTATCACATTCGGCGCGTATAAAAGTGTCGAAAACAGTCGCTTGATAACCCAAGTTCGTTCAGAAGTGGGAACAGAAGACAACGAAAGTTGGTTCAGAAGTGGGAACAGAAGACTACGAGAAGACGCTCAAGAAGAATAAAGTGCAGAGATGAGGACATTGTATTTGTTACTTGCACTTGGTCTGCTGTGTGCAGTGGTATATTCAATACCAATCGAAGATGATGAACCTTTGGAAAAGGAGTCAAAGGAAGGTACTACTGATATATAATCAAGCCTATGTAAAATATTAATTCCAAACGTCCCAAACATATCACCCTCTTAATTGCTCAGCATGAACGAGTTCGAATTGAAAGAAAAGGGAAAGAATCGCTAAAACAAACCGCAAAAAATTCCATTTTTTATAAAGGCAATTATTGCATGATATACAGGCCCTACAGTTTCTGTCGATTTGATATGTGCTATACGCTGATATGCAGTGATTTTATCGGTATCGAAGTTGGCTATGGGGAAAGAAAAAATGAAAGTTTCACGACAGGACTCCTCACATAAAAAAGTTATTCAACGAAATATGCAATACACCTGATGGTGAGCAAGCACTTGTTATAAATGTTTACAATCTTTTATAGAGAATGATGATGACAATGCTCTGGAAGAAGACGATGAAGATAAAGACGACGACGAGTACGTTCTAAAATTCTCCTTTTTAACACATCTTTGCTTATGTATCTAATATTGCAAGAGGCGGGGTTATTTTTGAGAAAAAAGACAGGAAGTGGGTTAATTCTATGATAATTTCTCTAATCAAGGAATAAAATTTCTTGGAGTTAAATTTGCGAGAGCAAGCAGATTCAGTTAAATAGATAGGGTGTTAATAATAGCAAATACATAGCCCATGTTTTCCAGAGTAAAATCACTCGGTTACCACATCAAACATATTAGAGAGTTCGAGATTCACGACGCAGTTAGCTCGATCTCGCTACTCGCTAGTTAAATATTTTGCTGAAAACAAGCTAGTGGAAATTAATTATGCTGTCAGGACTCTAGAATAATCATAAAAAGGTTTCAATTGTGCTGAGAACCTCCGATTTTTAGCTGATATTTTGCGGTTTTTGTATAAGATGAAAAGGTCTGTTCATACGACACACGATTCAATTTTGTTGGATCCCATTAACTTCTGACGTATGGAATACAGTCGGTTATTGATGAAGCGGCAGTGCTTGGCTTCAGTGGATTTGCTGCTCATATATATTACAAGACAAAAGCCTATAAGCCATCCATCAGAGGAGAATTGGATCCAGCAAAATTGAATCGTGTGAAGAGACTTTAAAACAGCCATCACTTTGCAGCTGCTGCTTTTATGTCGTCCAGAAGCCGTGAAATTGTCTCATTTGAAGGCGTCGTGGGTTGCAAGTTACGCATAGGCTGCATGACTATTGAGCATTGTATCGCTTGTGATTTTTCTTTGTTTTGCAACGGCCGCGTCGTCGAGCTTGACGCGTTATGAATCTCTCTATTCACGTGTTTACGATAAATACGGGCAAAAGGAAAACAAGCTTGAATATCGAACTTTAGAATTTCACGTGTAAAATAGTCGCAAGCACGACAAGTTATTTTGCAAAATCATGTTAAAATAGGGTTTAGCGGTTTTCATCTAATCTGGTGTATTTTCAGTGAACCTCAAGCGCTAGCAGATCCTTCGTATAGATATCACGGGCGCAGACGTCACGGGCGCAGATATTACGTGCGCAGACATTACAGGAACAGATATTACGTGCGCAAACATTACAGGAACAGATATTACGGAAGATACCGACATCATCGACGTCATTATTACGGATAAATATGAAACATGATTGTAAGTACTGCGTGCGCAAAAGGTGGTTCACACTATAGCTCCTAAGAATCGGGGAACTCTCATCTTTATACTACTTTCCAAAAGACAAAGCATTTTATACACACTAGTGACCTCGGAGGTTGAAAATTCCAGATTCTTACACTTGTTTTAAGGGCAAACAACTTCCTATATTGTACTACCACATTGTTAATGATCATTGGTGTAAGAAATACAGCTTTGTCTGTCGGTAGAAAATAGGGCCTACAATTGTTTCCAAATTCTCAAGTCGCGGCATGAACTGTATGAAATTATTGTAACTCGTCTTCCGAAGAATTTATGTGAACAGATTAATAAATATACGGTTTAATTTCATTAAATGTCAACTTAAATATGCTGCAATTTCTTTCTCGTTTAGCATAAAGGACTGGAAACAAAGATAATTCAACAAAAAAAAACATTGTAACTTAGTAAACATGTCATACATTGCTGTACGTTTAACTGTAGAACAATAAAAATTCTTGCATTAAAAAATACGTAATGTTTTGCTCAAAATAAAAAATTTCCTGATAGAGTTCACACGGGTAGAACATATGGTGGAAAATACGACAAACCCAACCGCGACCCCCCAAAAAGGCCCCAAAGTTTGGTATAAAGAAATGGGAAGGGTTGTAATTACGGACGGATAAAAAAACCCAAAACTGGTAAAACCCTCACTCTTCTCTTGTGTTTCCCCTATGAGGCAAGGCGTCTGTGATTGAGAACTTGATTATTACAGTATAACTATATATACACATAAGTATCTAGGAATGGTTAGATCGCGAGAAGTTATATTATAATGGCTCTGTATTAGGCGCAGTGAAATAAATGCAAGGTCAGTTTTATGACTAGTTAAATATGTACGAATGTTGAATCCTAAAAGCCTTTGGTTCTGAGTGGAATTTTCGTCACATAGAATGAAGGTTAGTGAGGTTCATTAACTCATTATCCACCAGTGAACTCTAATAAAAACTGGATCGATACCTCCTCATTGTTTTCATGAAGCCAAAATACGCGTGTCTGGAGGTAAAGTCCCGCAAATTTTGGCTTCACAAAAACAATCAGGAGATATCGTTCCAGTTATTTACTACAGTTCATTGTTTTCCACCGTCAGTGATGACGTCATGTCAATGTTTCGAGAGCCAACACATTAGTTGAAGCACATGCTGAAGAAAAATTGGCCAGAAATTAAAACACAAAAACTCTTTATTATAAACTCTTTCTTTTATATCTTGTCCCAGTTTCGTTTATTCAAAAATAGATCAGTTGCGTTGGACGCGACGGAAATATGACGTTTAAAACAAGGCGCTTATATCGTTATAACCATTTAAACCAAGCCTTGAAAATCTCGTACAGATGATCTTTGATGTACGGCTTTGGCTCTTGTGTTTTAAAGATGATATTCAGTCGTAATGTGAACAAACGCTTTGTTTATAACGTCTGTCATATTTTTGAAATGCGACGAAATCTCTGCATATTGTGCGCTATGGTTTTAAACGAGTATGAGCCAGGGTCATTAGGAGTCTGTCGAAAAAATCTGAAACATGCAAAATTTCTCAATTTTCAATGATCAGCCCGGTGCTAAGCACCTCATATTCGACTGGTGATCTTCACATAGCTTTCAACCCTGGTTATATATGCATCTGTCATATATAATGTACGTCAAGTAGGGTTGGTCGCCGTCTGTGAACAAGTTAATAAATGCGAACGATATTCTTTATTGAAACCAGTCATCCAGAATTTTAAAATAATTTCGTCTTCAGGTTTGGCATCCAGCACTTTGAATAATCTGCACAAAAATGTGAGTTATATATCAGTTTAAGTTATTATCCTTTAAAATAGCTGATGATTTATACAAGAAAATACAACAGAAGGCCATATAGGTAAGTTGCCCTTTAGGCCATCTCAGACGTTAAACTTTTCATGTGCCGAATCGAATGCAAATGAGCCTAAACAAAGACTTTAGCATGACCCCAAAAGTTCATGCAACTATATGTGTTAGAAGAAGCTAGTAAAAAACTCTATACTTAGTGTAAATTAAACGCAAAGAAACTTGTACATTAGAAACTCGTACCTCTCTTTCTCTTCTGATGTACGTGGTCCTGATCTGGAGAATTTGAAAATCACTTTAACTTTGCTAAATAAGATAACAATTACTTTTAGATTATAAAATTTTAAAAAAACCATACAAGAATAACGTCACAAGTAATGAACAATTTCATTTTGTCTAGCTTCATTCGGTTCCAAGGGGACGTCACAGGTGCGAATACAATTAAGTCAGTCAAATGCAGATAATGAGCTTGCATTTGGCTGGTCGAGCCTTCCATTCCTTCCATTCCTTCCATTCAGTGGTTATCAACTAAGAGCCTGTTTACATGGAGCGAGTTATCCCGGATAGGCGAGGTGAAAACTGCATATAATGAAAGACCAATCAGGTTAAGCCTTTGATGTTATGCGCTTTTTACCTCGCCTAGCCGGGATAACTCGCTCCATGTAAACAGGCCCAAGTTTCTCTCAACAAAATCACACTACTAGAGAAATAATTTATCGTATATCATTAACATACTCCATCCACTCCTCTTTGAGTGCGCAAAGATATTGATCGAGAACACTGTCAGAAAAATGCTTGTTAACCAAAGCTTCCTCGATTTTTTTGAGAATCTGAGATCCTGTTAAGAAAAAGTGTTCCTTTTTGTGATATCACAGTACCGTGATTGTGAAAACTAATTTCAGCAACTCGTAACTTCAACACATACTCACCATGGACAAGCTCTGTGGTCTCATGTATTTCAAAATTGTAGCGTTTTAAGGGATGAATACTGTCATTAAAATATATTGATTGGTATTCACGAATTCATCAGATTATACTGGGCACGTATAACAACAAATTTGATATGAAAACTAGGAGAAGGGGAAATATGTTCAAAAAACCCCAAAAGTGATACAGAATTTTAGACAAGAAATGAAGCGTTGATTTAGGAATATTTCCGGATTTTTTTTCCTGGTGGTCATGGTTTTCATCCTGGGTGTGGATGTACATTTGTCGTTACGTCTCGCCGGGGGGAGGGGGGTTGGCCGGGGGAGGGGGCGTTGGAATAAACCTCCCTACAGCCCTCAGGGGTCAGTTTTATTCACTACAAACATATTTTACACACCTTGCTTGATCTGAGAAGTTTGTATGTTCCTGTGGAAAATATATGTCTGTGAATGCACAACTAAAGTATATTGTTGATAATTTATATCCAAATATAAATAGCGTGGTGTAAATGTCTCGTCTAAAGTACCTTAATATCCATTAATGTATATAAATGCGATTCCAAAATATGGGTAGGAATTTTGGTGCCAATTTTTAAACCGAGAAAGTTGCATGCCCACGATTCCTGTGAAGAGAAATACTGACATTAAAATAACAAACAAATACGGCTTTTTTGTGGTTTCATAACACACACGCTTGTGTAAATTTAACACACATAATACAACACGTTTTTGTTTTAATCACACGTATTTTACTCTCTAAAATGGAGTATCAAATTCACACATAACTTATGGTATGAAACATATAGCTATACTGTATATAAGAGTGTTAAAAACAAGCATGATTTTCAAGCACGGACCAACCTGATAAATATCACTGTACGGTACACATTTGAAACATCTGTTAGGAATAAGAATCTGCAGGATAATAGAGGTAAGTTTGTACATGGTCAACACTGATGGTCAACACTGATGGTCAACACTGATGATGGTCAACACTGATGATGGTCAACACTGATGATGGTCAACACTGATGATGGTCAACACTGATGATGGTCAACACTGATGATGGTCAACACTGATGACGGTCAACACTGATGATGGTCAACACTGATGATGGTCAACACTGATGATGGTCAACACTGATGATGGTCAACACTGATGATGGTCAACACTGATGATTATTCTAAACATCCTGATTAGGTACTGTAGTCTTAGAACTAATATAACTCGGTTGACGTCATTGCAGATCAACTAGAAAAACCTCGCAAAACATACAGAATAGTATCTGCAATCTTAGAACTAATATAACTTGGTTTGAGCTGTTAAACAGTGAGTATATACGTCATGCAGCAAATTTATAGATCCAACATCACCTTTAATGTTTCAAAGATCGATAAAACAAGTTCCTCAGGTTCTCCTCGGATAATTAATTGGTTTCCTTGCACAACGTTGAATGCCAGGAGATGAAATTTTGCAGAACCTAAGACCTAAAGATACACTACAGCGTGATTTCTTTCTTTTTTATTGTGTTCAGAGTAACCTCTAAATAGTTAGCTGTCGATAAAGGGTAAAGTGTTCGCTAAAAATCTACCTGGAGCATTTGTCTTAATGTTGTAAACACAGGTGATCCAACTTTCTTCTCAGAAGTCGCTAGAACAAAATTAAAAATAATTAATGATTAATGAAAGAACTCAAGGAAACCTTAAACCGCAAGGATTTTGAAGACTGTTATTCACGACATGATTGGCAAGATTTTAGGGAAAATGCAATACAACTTCTCATGGTAAAGACTTATCTGGACTCATGCACTGGTTATTACAGTTAGCAGAATAACATGAAATACAGTTTAAAAGAAGATATAATTGACGGCACTTCAACCACAGAACTTTTGAAAAAATAACAAAAAAAAACACGTTTGCACCCGGTTTTTAAGTCCCGTAAATATGAGGATCGTAGATCCTTGAAAACTACATGTGCGCTCACCTTCCAACTTGTCCTCTGCTTGTTGTGCTTCGTAATCTGTCAGGAGTTCCTCCTGCATCCAGGAAACGTTGATTAGTTTGCATACAGATGAAAGTGAGACAATTGATGCATGCAGCAGTGAACATTACTGATTATAGTTCAAGAGAGAATTATTAATTTAAACAATAATTCATTCTTCATGTTGTAGTGTGTACTCTAAATCAATACTTCAAAAAAAGATGGAATACAAAGTATAGCTCACCCTAGGAGGGCCTTCTAGAACTTTCTCTGTCACTCGATGTGCACCAGCTTTAAGTATCCAAGCAAAGTACAGATGAAGATAGTGAAATAAATGCTGAAAACAATTTTGCAACAGGATAAATGGTACAGTAATTGGCCTAATGTAGCTGTTGATTTATAAAGCATTGGATTCAATGCACTAACAGTAAATAGTATTGGTTCTATTACATATGTTTGTCTAATAATATATAAACGCACATACAGCATAATCTCAAAACAGTGCTACAAGAAGTACCTTAGACACCATGATGAGTAATATCTATGCCGTACCTTGTCTTTTGTTAAATCCTGAATCGCGCGAAATGAGGCCCTGTGTTGTCGACGCAAGACATCTAAATTAAAAGAAAAATATACATTGATTAGAGACAGACGTTAGAATTCATGCATCTTCAAGCTCAACTTTAAGAACATTTGAACGTAAGTTTGAATTCTTAGAAACCCTGAACATGTCCACATCTAAGCAGGCTATACCTGCATGCACAGGAAATAGCAATATATACATCACAATCTTACCTGAACTGGTAAATCTGTTTCTACTATCTCTGCCTGACCTTTCAAAGCGAGCTGCTTGTTCAGAATTAAAAACCTCTACAGCCTTGAAAAACAATTAAAGGACACAATTATCGCGGTTATAACTAATACTCAGCCTACAGTATATACGAGTTGCAGTATGTTCTTTATAATGGCGAAATAATTTAGCAGGACTTGGCTGGTTCTTTCACTATTTCATTGCGAACCTCCTCCGAGACAAAATTATTGTACTCATTATATAGGTAAAATATATAACTTTGTAAAATCTCTAGAAATAGCAATGAAGTTTCATCCCCAACAACGAAGCAGGCGTGGAAAATAGTAACCTCTTTTATTTTAACTAATCTCTTTAAACATTACAGATAAACAAGATGGTTATGAGATCAGTGGAATCATGAACGTATTAGTTGAGCGGAAGAGGAAATACTCACCATTTTTTGAAGTTTGTCAATTATTTCTTTAAAATGTCTACAAAAATATATTTCATATCCAGGTCAAACATTGAAATTCCTAACTTCTCTGTTTGTATGTGCATTTATTTGTAGCAAGATGAGTACATTTAAAATAAGTACAAATTTTCAAAAACGTATTTTCTTACTTCACTAGAAATGACCATGAATTAATAAGGTATATTCGATCCATCATAACAATTATAATGCTGTACCTGGATAAAACACAGGGCAATTTTGCTAAACTCAATAGTTTTATGGTCGTATCGTGATGACATCAATTTTGCTAAATACCGTGATGTTTTATGCTGTTTGTACCAGTTTTGTTCGTGAATATCTCAGTGACAATTAGATAAAACCCTCAAATTTTGCGATTTTCAATGCTATACCTACCAACGGCGAAGACCTCTGGCTTGAGAATCTTTAAGATAAAACGTGTGACTTAAAACATATCCATTAGCATCCTCTCCGAAAAATATTGGTCCTTCTCGACCAGGACATATTTCACAACTTAGGCTGAAAGAAAAAGACATCCTGGTCCTCAAATTGTATTCTGTTATTCTTCGGTGTTACGTAATGCGTAATAGATCCCTGGGGCCGGTTGTTCAAAAGCTAGTTAGCTTAACCCTGGGTTAAAACAAATCTTTACATTTTCATAAATATTTTTCTGGACCGATAGAAATCATATTCCTTTCTAAAGTTTTAAAACGAACAGTGTTTCAGAAGCACATAAACTAAAACACTGGTTTAAAATTTAACCCAGGGTTAGCACTAACCTAGCTTTGAAGTTTGAACAACTGGCCCCTGAATGCAGTGCCTAAATACTTAACCTCAGGCGTTCGGCTAGTGTATATATATGAAAATGAAGCTAATCAGAATTTCCATTCAGGGCTTTAAGGCTTCATCAAAAAAAATCTTAAAGATAAAAATTGACACACAGAGAAAAAACGGTAAATTAACATAACTATTTCTGAATTTTCCGTCAAGTTTCTAGCTTTGTTTGCTATACAGCCGAGGATCAAGTAGCATTCCAGTCAGCTGAGTCTGCATTCCAGTCAGCTGAGTCAGCATTCCAGTTTACTTATAGTTCTACGGAAATCAACTGGAAACCGAGACACTGTAATCAGTGAGTCATTGTCTTGTCATTGTTCACTGTATGTGATTTGCTTAGCAGCAAATATATGCAATTTTTTATAAATTGCTTGCTGTTTGAGGCTGACTCAAATGAACGCGTTCTCTTGAAAACAAAGCGTGAACATTTCTCAACAAAAAAGCCTATAAAATTACATCTACTATTTGAATATGTTTCATCTTTCACAATACACCATGTCTTTTCCTTAAAATTGTGATTACCTGGAATATATAACTAGCTGTAAGGATGATAAATACCTCCGTACACATGCTTGTCGTACAACAACGTACACATCATGATGGGCTGGATTACGACTACTGGAATACGAAACACTTGTATGTTTATCCACACTCAAAAAACCTGGATGGTCAGGTGGGATTGATCTGCATGCCTACAAAGGCAATTTGTATTTTATATGAAACATCAAAATAAGCTTCAGTTTGCTTAATGCACTATATGAAAAATACCATACCTCACACTGGTTGGATTTTGGTTGAGATGATTTTGATGGTGAGACATTAGAAGCACTTGACTGAGATGACCTGCAATGACAGTCCGTCACAAGTCAATAAGCCAGGATATGCTGGAAATTACTCGCAACATTCTCCCAGGACAAACTATGTTGTATTTTGAGGCCAAACTATGTTGTATTTTGAGGCCAAACTATGTTGTATTTTGAGGCCAAACTATGTTGTATTTTGTGTCATTAATCAAAATAATATTATATTTGGTCCAAGCTGTGTTTATCAGATCACTCTGTATATACATGCATAGTCTGAAACAAAAGTGAATCTCGCACAGCCCAATCCCACATATTTAATGAAAAATAACCACACCTTCTACTTGCATCCTTTTGTGTCCCGAGAGCATTACTCACTGGATCATCATGAAAAGCCTAACAATAGAAAGGCATAAATCATCAGTCTGTAGAAACACCATGCATATTTGTTATATGCAGGGCTTTCTGTCCGACAACTTCTTAAATCACTAGGAAAATTTCAAGAATATTGATAGCAAAGCAATCACTTTTCTAATTCTTTTTGGTATCCAAACTAAAAATTTAACCTTTGTTTATGACATCTGATTAAATCTAGTTAAGCAGAAGCAGTTGCCTAAAATCTACATGAAAATTGAAAGTTCAAAATCAACAATACTTAGAATTACTTAAAAAGTTGAACATTTTTTGCATTTGTCAAAGGTGCAGTGTGAATCATAGTTAAAGTGGAAGTCAAGTCTCTGTTTTTAAAAAATGCATGTGTGTTTAAATTTTGTATTTCTATACTTTTTGAAATATGTTGTGACAGTTGTGTTGTCTGAATATCTAATACCATTAAGGTTTGCCATGACTTTAAATGAATATGAACTAGTGTTTTTAATGAAAAGAATTTGAAACATGTCATTAGAAATTTATCCAAGGACCTCGCATTAATTGTTATCATCAGAACTGATCCACACAAGGGACTTAATATCCACTTTAACACCAAGGACAGCAAAGTTCTAAATTGACATCTTTTTCAGGTGGCAATCACCAAAAGTATTGGTTTCCTACATATTTTAATGCAAGAAAAAACTACAGGCATGGCAAGACTGACCCTTAAAAGGTGGGTTTATACGTCGCATTTTGGTCGCATCGAATGCAATTCAACATATATATTTCCTAAAATATCAAGAACTTTAAAACTAGTCTACAAACTTTCAGTTCACTATACTTCTAAATGCATATGAGAGAGAGAGTGTTCAGAGATATACATGCAAAATTTGAGCAATTTTGAAACAAGTAGAGTTAGTAGACTACCCATTGTTTATGAGCAGAACCCTGGCTGAACCAACTGGCAGTTTGTAACCCTCCTTTAAACAAGCTTGTATTTATTAATAAATTGACTATTGAACAATAATCAAGTTACATGATCTACCTAAAAACTACCTGTACTTAGAAGTATGAAAGTGGCCCTCTAACTAAGACACTGGGTAGGGTTGACAGTTGATTTAGCTTTTGGCAGATCATGTGACTAGCATGATAGCATCAACCAGGGTTGCTTCAAAACATTATAAAATCGTCTGTTTGTTGTCTCGAAGCAATATACTCATTACTCACAAAGTTATCATAAACCTTTAAATAGAAGAGTCTGATACCTGCGTGCAAAATAAGACACTAGGACCATGGATTTCACAAAAATGACAAAGTGCAATGACTGCATTCATACTTCTTTGTTTTTGTATTTGTCGCCAGTGTTGCCAACTGTAATTTTGTAAAAATCCCAAGTAACCGCCTGAAATATCCCGAGATTCCCCCTAAAATCCCGAGATTCTAATTTCGACCCCAGTCCTCAGCTTTGGCGCACCCTAGTACCAGGTCCGCTCAGTGTGCGTTTATAAAGCGGTACTTCTCTGCATAACCGATTGTACAAATAGTCTTTATTGAGTGACTTTAAGTAACGTTTTTGCCGCAAGTATTAATTTACGCTATATATTATTTCAATACCTTGGATTTTTAATATGTTTATTTATCAATTTAACGAAAACATTTTTTCCCAAATTCCAAACTTCCCTCTCCCAAAAATCCCTAAAAAAATCCCGAGATTACCATTTGAGAAATAAATCCCAAAAAAATCCCAACTGCTTCAAAAAATCCCGAGATCTCGGGATAAAATCCCGAACTTGGCAACACTGTTTGTCGCTATCTAGCAATACTTCATCTAGCAGAAATCATAGCGGACCAGGGGGGGGGAGCACACACACACACGCATAGCAATATTCGAATACTGTACGTCTGCACCCACTTTTGAAATGTTCACCACAATTACTATTACCTAATTCTGCCTGTCTACCCGCGTCTCAGTTTAATCTGCGGTCTGCGGAGGAGAGTGCAGGTAAATGAAAACCCGGCTTTATTTGGATGGGCCTCTTGGTCTTTACCAAGCTTGAAGGCGATTGCACAACATTTTGTAATGAGTGGACTAAACTTTTACTTAATCTGTACGCAGGATTTCCATCGTTGCAAATTACTATTACATCTTACTTTATTATTTATTTAATGAGTAAAATCAAATTTATCAATATCGCAAAATAAGAAAATACTTCGCTTTGCATTGAATGTAAAGCAGGCCGTGATTCCTACAAAATTTGTAGAAGTTAAAAGGAATACACCCGTCTATTACTATTTAAGAAAGATTTAATTTAAAAGATATTTTGGCAATTTGTCTACGTAAATTTAGTGGGATCACGCCAATAGTATCCTTGGAAGTATTTCCAATGTTCTTGTACAATGTTCAACGACTGATGTCATCACCAAGTGAAAAACGTTGAAAAAAGCCACATGAAATTTCTGACCGGTGACTACAGTGTTTCTATAAATTAAATAGAAAACCATTGAATCTCTAAATAAACACAACATATGTGAGAATCAAGAAAAGCAAAATGTATAAGCGAACAGCAAATACTTTCCTCCTTCTCTTCACCATGGTTCTTTTATTTGGGTAAGATTAGTGATCCTTATTCCTTAATCTAATACCACTGATATCGTGAATTACTGCGTTCACTGTATGTCATCTTGATTAACTAATGATTCAGTTTCTCAGTGGGAAAGAATTGTGACTAATTCAATAAAATTTCTTAAAAGATATCAAGCAATAAAACACTGTGGCGCATCTTTTTTAGGATTTGTACAGAAATTGGTTCGACACACTCGATCATCAGTGAGTTTACCGCATATCATAGAATTAAAGGCGTTAGTTTTTTGTATCGAGAATTTCGGTGAAAATTCGCTCTTTTTTGTGTTAGCTGTTTTATCATAGCTCTTTGTTATTTAGGCTATTTCTCAGTGTCTGACCCGTTACCGAACCGCAGAGCACAGAACATTATTGACGTAACAAATCCTGGCCTCGGTTTACCACAGGTTGTCAAAAATAGGAACACAGACTGTTCAAGAGCTCTACAGGCCATAATTGATAGTCAATTTGGCAGCGGAAAAACACTGTTCTTTCCCCCTGGAAGATATCTCATCGCGTCTGATGTCATAATTAAAAAAAGTCTACGCCTTCGTGGATCCCGAGTTGGAATAAGTCTCATTGAGAATGGAGCATCAACTCGTGTTACAACAATAGGTATATGAATGCTCGTAAAAGTTGATCATTACCGTTAGCGTGGTTTTGAAAACACTAGCAGATACCTAGGAAGCATCCCAAGTTGAGAGGGAAGGGCAAAAACGTCCAGAGGTTAATCAAAAGGCAGCTCAAATATAATGTGTATAGGGGTGGTTTAATTCTCAATGCTGCTACGTCACCATTAATGCGGCGGTTTGGCCGTTTGAGACTGTTTCTGAACGATTTAAATATTCAGTGTGCAGACATGTAATTTCTTGCTTAAAACAACTTCGCATCGAACCTTTTTCTAGCATTACCCGACCCATCATACGTAAAAATTTATCCATCCCTATTATAATATTCAACACAATTTCATAAAACATTATAATTACTCCAAATTTCTTATTTGAAAAAAAAACCATAAAAAACCTATAGTCACCGACCAGTAATTATATCACTTCAGAGACAGTGAATTTTGACAAATCAGAATGCAGGAAAATCAATAGTCACCTCGAAGTTTATACTAATAAACTATATTATACCTTTATATTAGCAACTCGCTATTGGGCTGCATGTCTAACAAAACATTTGGACGCTGAATTCCTCTGTCAGTTTAATAATGAAATTGTGCATTTAACTATTTCAACAAAATTTTAATGAGCCACCTTAATTATCCTAATATTTGTACAACAAATATAGTAGAAATACGTTTCCCAAACATTTTGGGCAAAAAGCGATACATGATAATTCCGACATGAAGATCAGACATTTTTCTTTTTCCATCATCAATTAGCAGGGCAAATAATATGGGAACGAGGTTCATGGTTCATGTGTTATTATTGTTAGGCAATACTCTGGCTAAAGCTGGTGGACAGATTCACGTATATTCTTTGTTTTTCCACGGAGTCAACCTAAAATTCGGACACAAAAATCATGCAAAACATTGGATCTTTGTATCGCATTGTGTCTTCTTCTCAAGAAATATTCCTGGGAATAAACAAAAAAAACCCGTCACCTTAATAAACGTCACCAATCCAACAGACTTGTCTCACAGCGCATTGGAGTTCTCAGTATTTTTGAGCGATGAAGACGCATTTGGTGTTGCAACGAATATCCAAAAATCATACGGTATTGCAATAAGAAACAACATCTATGGTCTTGATCTTAGTAAAATAGATTGGATGGACAACATCGTATACTCCAATTCCTACTGGAGAGATTTAAAGCTAAAGCTGATATATCTTAAGACAGCGTTGAGTCTTCGTGATGACCAAGGTTACTTAAACTCTTCAATATACAGTGGCTTCTGCAACAACTCTGTAATTGAAAAGAATATCTTTAATGGCAGCCCAAATTCAAAATCACTGAAACATGACCATGTCGTGTACTTAAAAGGATTTGATGGTATGAAATTCCTGGAAAACTATGCACGTGGCTGGCCCAGTGACTCCAGCGGAGGGATCAAAGCAAGAAACGGCAAAAATCTTGTCATCGCCCGTAACTATATCGATGATACAGGCATTCTCATGTACACGCACATTATAGCCAATCAGGGTGTAACTATTTACAAGGGCCTAAAAAATGTCTTAGTCTATGGCAACCATATCGTGCAACGGACAAACCAGGGTCATCCAAAAAGCGGTATTTATTACAGCAAGCCACATTTCGCTGGTGTGGATGAAAACGTCACGTATTCTGCGAATGTCTTTGAAATTATTGGTGGGCAAAGTCCGCCGACAGAGGATTGTATCTTCCTCACCAATGGAAACCTGACAGAACACCACGTATACGAAGATAATGTCTATAATGGTACAACACGGAAGGTGGGAATTCACCATCGCCATTATACACCATCTTATGAAACTGGGAACATATCAGCTACTCTAATCGCACCATACCAGAATATGCGACTGCCCAAGTATAACATACCGACTTATACGCCTAGGAATGTCGGGAAATAATTGTAACTTTGTTCTACAGGGCGTCTCAAAGAAAACAAAAAGTAGTGGGTAATGATATTATTAGAATGTCATATTTTCAGAGGTCTTGTATATTCGTATACAACTAAATATTTGTAAGGGGAAGGTTACAATGAATCATCAATGTCATATAATGTATTAGGAAGCCAGCAGAAAATGAAATGAACGTTTTGTACGCTCGTTAAACCTGATATCAAAATTAATTGATCTTTAGCATATTAGAACTCCTTAATTAGCAGTTTTTAAATGTCTGCATGATCTCTCTACATTTGGTTTCTAGTTTAACACTTATCCAGTTTTACCAGAATGTAATGATGTCAATGAAATCGATTATTTTCTTTTTCACATCAGTTTGCTTTGCACAATGTGGGAATATCCTCCCATGTTCGAATATCCACGTTCCATTTGAACACAATGGCATTCTCCCATGGACCGTGCCAGCGACAGTGAAGCCTTTCTCACACTTCAACTCTGCTCTGCTGCCACTTCTATAGATTCGCTGCGGTATATTCTCGTTTGGGACATGACATGGGGCTAAAAAAATACAAAATATTTTTCTCGAGAATTTCTGCCGTTCTCTAAGCTCATACCAAGGCTTACTGACTGATTAGGCGTCAGGGGGGTGTACTGTACGAAACCCAAATACCCGGGGGGTTTTTTCGATACCAATCTACAAAAATTGACATGAAAATTAGACGATATATAGTACTGCTCAAAATTCGGTGAATTCCATGTTCATCACCCTTTTATTAGAACTGAAGCCTCTAAGATAGCGAATGGTACTAACAAACGACAATATACCTAGAAGGAAAGATCATGCATAAATATCCAAGAATCGCTGGCCGAGACTGGCTGTTGTAGGAAGGAATTAAGACTATAGGATAATTGCAACCAATTGCAACCTCGTATCCAGGGCTCTATCTTCGCTCCCGGTGCCCTCGGAACCCTGGGTATGAGATTGGTATATATATTGTACTCAAACTCTGATTGACAAAGTAGAATTACAAACCTAGGCATTCTGGAACTTTGCTTGACCATTTACCATTTTCCATGCAAAGAGTAGAATTCTCTCCTGACATAACGTAATCGGAACTTTTGCATTTAAACTTTGCTGTCGAGCCATATTCATAACCAGACACATTAGCCTGTATCATCTCTGATATAGCAAACCGTTCACAGGAAACCAATACAACATGCCATTAATGAAAAGTCATTCGCGATGTGCAATTGATTGGATTGCAATGGACCTTTTCAATAATGACGTCAAACGCGGAATGTCTAATATTACACGTTTGATTGGCTCGATAGTTTTGTGGAGGCAATCAAATTTCGTGTAACATCAGACTTTCCGCGTTTGACGTCATTATAAGAAAGGTCTATTGAATAACATGAACTCTAAAAGTTTTGCTTCATTAATTTTGTTTTTAAAACAAGCTATAACGATACATGTTATTTCATTTGAGTATGGATTCATGATTTATTTTACCGAAAAACAAGAGTTGGCAAAGCAAAATCGCAAACATTTAAAGCGTGCATTATAAGGATAATCTTAGCCGGAATCGAAACATGTTTTAAATTAAACTTACTTTTACAATTTGGTGTTTTTTCTGACCAATTTCCATACTTGGTGCAAGAGATTTGTGAACTTCCAATCAGATTATAACCTTTGTCGCATGAAAAATCGGCCTTCGAACCACATTCTATACCGGCGAGACTAATTTTGCGGATTTTATGAAAAATGCAATACAACTTCTTATGGTAAAGACTTATCTAGACTCGCTGGTTATTACAGTTAGTAGAACAACATGAAATACAGTTTAAAAGAAGATATAATTGACGGCACTTAAACCACAGAACGTTTGAAAAAATGACAAAAAAAACACGTTTGCACTCGGTCTTTAAGTCCCCTAAATATGAGAATCGTAGATCCTTGAAAACTACATGTGCGCTCACGGCTCACCTTCCAACTTGTTCTCTGCTTGTTGTGCTTCGTAATCTGTCAGGAGTTCCTCCTGCATCCACGAAACGTTGATTAGTTTACATGCAGATGAAAGTGAGACAATTGATACATGCAGCAGTGAACATTACTGATTATCGTTCAAAAGAGACTTATTATTTAAAACAATAAATAGCAGAAATCATAGCGGACGAAGCGGACGAGGGGGGGAAGCACACACACACACGCATAGCAATATTCGAATACTGTACGTCTGCACCCACTTTTGAAATGTTCACCACAATTACTATTACCTAATTCTGCCTGTCTACCCGCGTCTCAGTTTAATCTGCGGTCTGCGGAGGAGAGTGCAGCTAAATGAAAACCCGGCTTTATTTGGATGGGCCTCTTGGTCTTTACCAAGCTTGAAAGCGATTCCACAACATTTTGTATTGAGTGGACTAAACTTTTACTTAATCTGTACGCAGGATTTCCATGGTTGCAAATTACTATTACATCTTATTTTATTATTTATTTAATGAGTAAAATCAAATTTATCAATATCGCAAAATAAGAAAATACTTCGCTTTGCATTGAATGTAAAGCAGGCCGTGATTCCTACAAAATTTGTAGAAGTTAAAAGGAATACACCCGTCTATTACTATTTAAGAAAGATTTAATTTAAAAGATATTTTGGCAATTTGTCTATACGTAAATTTAGTGGGATTACGCCAATAGTGTAATGACCTCAACTCACAGAACATATAAGAATGTTTAATACAAAACATAGGATCCTTTTTATATACAGCTAACAATAGCATATTGGGATAGTGGAATACTAATTCATGCATACTAATTAACTAATACTAATTACCGGATACTACATTTCTCCTTTTTTTTCAAAGATAGGAAATAATTAAAATATAAAACTACTATTAAACTGTTAGAATGTCTTTTAGTCCCTATCAGTTCCCTTAAATATAGATTATAAGTAAGTAACCCTTTTTTTTTCTACCATTTTCTGCTTTTGCTAAATAATGTTGATACTTAAATGTTCACGTTATGTAGTCTGTCAAATATAATGGTTTTTTTCTGTTCCTCGTTGATCTTCTTAGTGGTTGTAGTTTCTCAGGTGGTGGTAATTCAGGTTGTGGTTTATCATCTTGTTGAGTTTCAGCCTGTTGAATTTCCATTCCTGGGGTGTTTCTAGTTTCTTCTCCTTTGTTGGTACTTGCGTCACTCTCTGTGTGCTCTTGATACTCTGTTTCATTTTCGCCAAAATTCTTCATCAGGGTTTCTCTCTCATTCTCTGAAATTATTTCTTCTTCATCTGTTCGTCCTCGATGTTCATTTCCACGGACTAACATGTTCACAAGCTTGTACTGGCTGGCGTCGCGATAGACTTCTCGACCATCTTTAATCCGTCTAGCTGCAATGCTTGATCCATTAACACGAGTTACGATATAGATTGCTGGCTCGTATGCTGTTGACCACTTATTTGTCTTCTTCTGTTTCAGGAGAACATGGTCACCAACAATGAAGTTATGCTCTTTAACGTTTCTTTTGTGAGCTGTGCGGGTCATCTTTTCTTTGTATGCCCCATCCTTCCTGTTAATTGTAGCATCCTCTGAATTTTTAGGATCTGATGAACTGGCTTGATGGTCCAATTTGGTCCTCACTAGTCTATTCATCATTGCTTCATAAGGTGTTGCACCGGTGGCTGGATGTGGTGTCGATCGAAATCCAGTCAGCATTTCTTGAATTGCTATGGTACTACTCTGACCTTGTAAGTGTGCGATCTTCTCTGTCTTGTTCAGAAGTTTCATGAAACTTTCCGCTTCACCATTTGCTCGTGCATGTCCTGGGGTAACCCGATGATGTTGGAATCCTTCGGTCCTCGCAAATTCGGCAAATTCTTTGGATTGGAATGGTGGTCCATTGTCACTTTCAAGATATCTAGGAGTTCCATGAGTGGCAAACATGGTTTTCAGCTTCTCTTTCGTTTGTGAGAAAGATGTAGAACTAACTCTTGCAACTTCAGGGTATCTAGTCCTTTTGTGATAGACTAAAGGTTATAATGGCCATCGGGATACGGTCCTCCAAAGTCCACAGCGATTACATCCCATGGTTTCTTCGGTATCGCCGTCGGTTTTACTGGTTCTTGCTGGTGTTGCTTTGTTGTGACTTGGCATTCAAAACATTGCCCAACGATCTGTTCCACCATTGTATTCATAGTCGGAAACCAATACTTCTCGCGAAGCATTTGTTTAGTTTTGGTCATGCCCAGATGTCCTAAGTGATGTGCTGCTCTGACAACTTTCCTCTGTAATCGTGTAGGAATAACAATCTGGTCCATCCGGAAAATAATGCCATTGACAGAGTACAGCTCGTACCGTATACCATAGAAAGGACTGATGTCTGGATCCTTCCTGTATTGCTCCCAGTCTCCTCTTAAGATTCTCTCTGACAGTTTCTGGAGTTGGGTATCTTCCTGCGTCTCTTCTAGAATTTGATCAACAACGACAGCATGTTCTTCAGTAATAACCTGTTTCACAACTTCCTCTATGGTGTCTCGACTTGTCTCTGGTAGTGGGTGTCTTGAAAGGAAATCGAGTGGATCTGCTTCATTCTTGCCTGGATTGTATACAAGTTCGAAGTCAACATCCTGCATACCCATCACCCACTTCTCAATTCTTGGGGGCAGCTTGATGGTAGCCTTGTTAAATAGTGGAATTAATGGCTTATGTGCAGTGATGATCTTGAATCTTGGTGCTCCGAGGAGATAAATACTAAATCTGTTCTTGGCCCAGTGTACTGCTAAGGCGTCCTTCTCGGTCTGACTATACCGTTTCTCTACTTCCGTCATCGTGCGACTAATAAAATGAACTGGCTGCAGTCCCTTCTTGGTTTCCTGAAATAGTCCCGCAGATAGTCCCTCGTGATAGCTGGCTTCGACTCTCACAATTATTGGTCTAGTTGGGTTAAAGAAAGCCACAGTGCTTTCGCTGGTGATGCTCTCTTTAACTTTTCTGAATGCTTCTTCTTCCTTCGATCCCCAATGGAATTTAATGTCTTTGTGTATTAATGCTCTCAGCGGTGCAGTAATCGATGAATATCGAGGGATAAACTTCGACAAATAGCTTGTCATACCCAAAAAACTTCGCACAGCCTCTTTTGACTCAGGTGCTTTGCTTTCTTGCACTGCTCTAATCTTTTCAGGGCTTGGTTTAAGTCCGTTTTGAGTGAATCGGTGTCCATAAAAGTCGATTTCTTTGACACCAAATTGGCATTTCTCGAGGTTGAATGTGATTCCAAAATCAGCCGCTCTCTGCAAAACGGTTTCCAATGCTTTGTCATGCTCCTCAGTATTTCTTCCCCCGATCAGGATGTCATCCCGCTGGCTAAGACATCCCTGGATGTCCCCAAATATCCGGTACATTGCTTCATCAAACAGGTCCTGCGATGATTTCGCCCCGAAGATCAATCTCTTTGCTCTCATATTGCCCCACGGGGTGCTGAAGGTTGCAATCATTCTTGACTCAGGATCCAACAACAACTGGTGGTAGCCCTGTCTCATATCCAGTTTGGAGAACACTGAACAGTCGTGGAACTTGTAAATGAAATCTTCAACGGTGGGCCCTTGAATTATGCGATGTCTCTCCATGAACTGGTTGGGTACTCTTAGGTCGACGCTGGCTCGAATCATATGTGGCTCCAGTTGATCCTTATCTGTCCCACTGAACCTTGGCTTTGGTTGCACTACGAGTGGCGAACACCATGTCACTGGTTCACCATCTGGCACTTCTTCAAATATATCCTCTTTAATACATTGTTCCAGCCATTTCTTCAAGGGTTTCTGTAGATAATAAGGAACTGGTCTCGGCTTTTGAGCAACTGGAACTGCTTCTGGCTTCATACTAAATTTGGTATAAAAGTTCTTATCATTCTTTATGTCTCTGATCATCCCAATGCCTTTGAACACTTGATTATACCGATCTGTGATTTTCTTGATTCGTGGACTGCAGTCTTTACTCATCATGACTGTTTTAATTCCCTGTGCTGGATCTGCGATTCTCATGTTGTTCTTTTCCGCGAACGAGCCATCCTCCCTGATCTGCAGCATTCCAAGTTTGAATAAGGTATTCTTGCTGATAAGTGGAGGTGAATTTATTCTGCCCTTGACTACGACAAATCTTGCCACCGTCCCACATGTTCTATTCTTAACCGTCGCCTTGAATTCTCCTTTCACAACCAGCTTGCTTTGCAACGTACTCAGTTTTGTCTGACTGGGTTGTAGCGTTGGTTGGTCTTTACCACACCGGTTCACCAGTGCCCTGAATTGGTGCTCATCCATCAAATTAACTTCAGCTCCACTGTCCGGTTCGGCTCTGACTTCAACATCATTAATATGTATAGTCACGGTCTTGTTTTGATTGTTCCCTTGAATTCTCTTAACTTGCTTGAGATGTCTTACCACTTGACCGAAAAATTCGTCATCGGAACTTGTTGCAGTATCTGTTGCGTCTTCTGACATTTTCTTGATTGATCGTTTTTGCTTTTGGGAACCTTGTTGGTCGATCTCACGCTCGTGACTCGATTTTCTCCGATCGCCTTTTTGCGTATCCGATTTACTTGATCTGCAAACTATCGCGAAGTGATTGTACTTTTGACACTTCTTGCATTTCTTGCCATACGCCGGACAATTCTCTCCACTGATGTGAGTCTTTGTTTGTCCACAGTAGTTACATGGCTGTGTTAGACGTCCCAACGGTTTTCCCACATACGGTGTTCGTCTCCTCTTATGTCGTCTCTCGTTGTTCACGAACTTCACCTCTTCATGTCCGGGTAATTTCATATCGCGTACTTGAAGCGATGTATCCTCCATTTGCGCCGCTTCCATGAGAAATTGTGACAAATTCCACTTCTTGTTGATAGCCTTTTGGATCAATACCCGATTATGAGTCGTTTGAATGAGGTGTTCTAAGATTCGTTCGTCAGAGTTCCCTTCGAATTCACAATCATTAGCCTTCTCTCTCAGTCGACTTGCATATGCCGCTATTGTTTCGCCCTGATTTGGTCGGAGTTTAAGGAATAAATATCTGGCGTGATGTTTGTTTTTCTTGGGTGTGAAATAGTCGTTTAGTTTTGTCCTCAGTTTGTCGAATTCATCGAGTTCCCCTGCCGGATTAGGTAAGCTTTTCTCAAGCCTAGCTATTTCTTTACCGCCATAAATAATTAGGGCGTCTTTCTTGTCAATCGGGTCGCTTATTTTGAAATAACGAAGCTCTCGTTCGATTTCTTCTAACCAATCGTCCCACGCTTTACCCGTAGTAATCTGATCATCTCCTGGTGCAAAAGGTCGTATTTTGAGGTTCCTTGTTTCTGTTATAACACGAATAGTCGATGCTTCGGCACTTGCTGCTTGCTGTTGTTCGCTATTAGACATCATTTGTCGATTTATTCGAATGTTCTTAACGTTGTTAACCGAAAACTATTCCATATTTCGCTGCTCAAGGCGGATCTTTACTAACTCTAAGAGTTTTTTTTTTATCCTCGTCGCCAATGTAATGACCTCAACTCACAGAACATATAAGAATGTTTAATACAAAACATAGGATCCTTTTTATATACAGCTAACAATAGCATATTGGGATAGTGGAATACTAATTCATGCATACTAATTAACTAATTAATGGCACGCACGCGCACTATGGCGTAAAGACGCTAAAAAATAGTGCTCCGTGACATTTGAAATTTTTACACAATTACTGCTAAATTTTTAGAAACATTATTACGTTATTACTTAAGTAAGGATATCTTGAAAACAACGTTGGTGTTATTTTTTGTTAACTTGGTGTTTTCGCGCATTTCGTGACATTATCAAGATTTGGACATTTAACAATTAGACAACGAGGCGGAGTTGTCTATGAGCGAATAGTCAACGAGGCGAAGCCGAGTTGACTATTTGCTCATAGACAACGAGGCCGAGTTGTCTAATTGTTTTAGTATAAACTATAACATTAATTTTTCCATTTCTTTAATTTGTGTACAAAATTCTTGTTGGCTTGCAAACCATTCTGAAATTTATTTCGTATATTAAAGGGAAGAAAATATTTTAATTGTTGTTCGCGTAAAATGTTTTAAAATTCAGTTTAAATATAAAAATTCAATTGAGTATACGTTATTTTTATGTATTTTCTTACCCTTAAAAATTGCAATTCCGTATTTTGTTGCTTTTTTTGTTTTTTCTGGTACGGAATTGTCCAACAAGTCGTCCAAAAAATCTTCAGATACTTCGGCGAAACGCGAATTTTCCGCCATTGTTTTGAATTTTGCTACTAGTAGGCTATCACTAATAGCCTACTAGTAGCGTAGCCAATCAGAACGCAGGAAAAGTGATAGCCTATTAGTAAGTTTATACTAATGAACATTGGTCATTGGAGTGGTTACGCGTTCATTGCTTTTAGCGTGAATATAATTTCCAGTGCTACTTCAACTGTGAATTCTGTGAGTTCGAATTGGTTATATTATATATATTTTTGGAACTTTTACGCAAATATTTTGCTATTTCTGGAGTTTGGACCGTTAAATTACATTTGCGAACGTTATTCCGTTAACTGCGTGCTACGTGATTTGGTAAATTGGTTGGTGACGACGCACGCTAATTAGAAACTATGCCGCAAGAAAGCAAAGACGGAGAGCGCGCATTTCAATGTAATTTGTGTAATAGACAATTTGGTTCGGAACGAGGACGGTCGCTACATCTGAATACCTGCAGGAAGAAACATGCTACTGGTGGAGTACGTCAACATGATGGAGAAACGTCGACTGCAGGTAATTCTAGTGTCATCAACCCAGCAAGTACAAACATTTTTCAAAAAAGCCGGTCACCTTGTGTTTGGGGCAACCACACAAAAGACGATCTAAAGCAAGTTGTTTCCGCTGCCTACGAGGAGATTGTGTTTTGGCGCAAAAATCTGTTCATGTTGCCAAGTGGAGCTGCTGGAAAGTCTTATGTCAGAGAAGTGGGAAGACTGATCAGTGCTTGGAACAGTAACTCGGAGAACTTACACGACGTTTCCTTAAAACTCGTTATGATCATGCCTGCTCTTCTCTTGCAAAAACCAAGTTTCAAATCGAGATCCAAAGACCATGTGTCATGCTTGTCGCGGCGCATGGCGTTATGGGAGCAAGGGAATTTTGATGAGCTGCTTCGGGAATGCAGGACCATCCAATCAACGCTGATTGTTTCTAGGAAGGTCTCCATTGAACAACTTTCCAAGACCTTCGCTAGTCTAATGCTCCGTGGTAAAGTGAATGCAGCCCTGCGTTTGTTGGATGAGCAATCTTCTGGTGGAGTTCTACCCCTGAATGACGTTGTGTATAAGGACCTTCAGCAAAAACATCCAGCTGCACAACCCGAGGACTCTTCCGTCATGTTTGATGGTGAGATACCCTTTATTGATCCAGTATTGTTTGCCAACATTGATGAAGCAGCCATATCGAAGGCAGCATTGAGAACGCATGGCGCTGCTGGTCCTTCTGGTCTTGATGCACTTGGCTGGCGGCATATTTTAGTGTCTCGCAATTATGGGGACGCTGGAAGAGATCTGCGATCCGCGATTGCGTTAATTGCGAGAACACTTGCAACACGGAAGGTTGATATTGAACCAAATCAGACCACAAGTTTGGAGGCGTTTTTGGCGTGTCGCCTAATACCACTGGATAAGAACCCAGGTGTTCGTCCCATCGGAATTGGTGAAGTGCTTCGTAGGATCATCGGGAAGTCAATTATCTTTGCAATCAAGCCTAAAATCATGGAAAGTGCAGGTGATGTTCAGCTTTGTGCTGGACAACCAGCTGGCTGTGAGGCGGCTGTTCATGCCATGTCAGAAATCTTTGCAGGAGATGAGACGGATGCTGTGTTATTGGTGGATGCTACAAACGCATTCAACTCAATTAACCGGAGAATCATGTTGCACAACATTCAGTACATTTGTCCTGCCATGGCAATTTACACCTTCAACTGTTATGTCACAGCATCAAGATTGTTTGTCCAAGGAGGGAAAGAAATTACTTCTGCAGAAGGTACCACCCAGGGTGATCCATTAGCCATGCCGCTGTATGCTGTTGCCATTACACCCTTGCTGCAGTTGATTAAATCTGATGAAGCTAGTGATGTTCGACATGTTGCCTTTGCTGATGACCTTAGTGGTGCTGGTAGACTTGCTCATTTGCGTTCCTGGTGGAAGAACATTGCTATTTATGGTCCCCGTCTTGGTTACTATCCGCGTGCTGACAAATCCTGGTTGATTGTGAAGCCGCACCTGGAGCTGACTGCCAAAGAGATGTTCGCTGGAACTGGTGTTCGTATAACAACTGAAGGACATAAGTACCTTGGAGGATATCTTGGCTCTGAAGATGGGAAAGATAAGTACATTTCGTCTTTAGTTAGTAAATGGTGTCAGCAACTTCATGTTTTAAGTGAAATTGCTAAATTTGAGCCCCAAGCTGCATATGCTGCATTTGTGTCAGGGTTTCGGCACAGATTTACTTACCATATACGCACTGTTCCAGGTATCAAGACTGCGATGCGAGTGGTAGATGATTCCATCAGCCTGAAGCTCCTGCCAGCGCTCCTAGACAACCGTAGTGTTTCCATCCATGAGAGGAAGTTACTGTCACTGCCGACGAGAATGGGGGGTCTTGGAATACCTATCTTCTCCGACCTGTGCGATGAAGAAAATGAGAACTCAAAGACCATCTGTCAAAATCTCTCAAGCAAGATCATCCATCAGAATGATGACGCTCCAGCAAATGAAAATGGAGCATCCATCTACGATTTGCGCCGTGAGATAATTAATCATCGACATGCCCAAAACAAGCTGGTGTTGCAGAACTTGAGATCAAGTATGAGTGAAGAGCAAATTCGAGCAAATGATCTAGCCCAGTTGAAGGGATCCTCATCTTGGTTGACAGCACTGCCACTTGCTAATGAAGGGTATGTCCTTACGAAACGAGAGTTCTTTGACGCAATCTATATGCGTTATCGGTGGCCATTGAAGCGCCTTCCATCCTTCTGCGCTTGTGGAAAATCTTTCACCGTGGACCATGCCTTGTCGTGCCTGAAAGGAGGTTTTATTCATCGACGACATGACGAAATCCGTGACCTTCTCGCTTCTGCCATAGACGACGTGGCCTATGACGTTTCTACTGAACCTGCTCTTGCTCCTTTAACTGGCGAAGTACTTCCATCCAGTGCTAATTCCGCCGACGACGCCAGAGTGGACATAGCTGCGAGAGGTTTCTGGCAGAGATGTGAAAAAGCATTTTTTGATGTCAGGGTGTTTAATCCTTACGCTTCGACACATCGACGCCAGACTCTTACCAGCTCGTTTAACGCCAACGAACGTGAGAAGAAACGTCATTATAATCAAAGAATTGTTGAAGTTGAACATGGCTCCTTCACCCCAGTCGTTTTTAGTGCCTATGGTGGATGTGGAAGGGAGACTTCTCACTTCCTTTCGTTCCTAGCAGGCAAACTGGCTGAGAAAAAGAACTTTAGTACCTCCATCGTTCTCAACTGGTTACGTAAGAAGATAGCTTTCGCTCTTCTTCGCGCTAGGGTTGTGTGTGTTCGTGGTAGTCGTTCCTGGAGAACCTTAAACATTCCTTCAACTACAGATATCTCGTTGTCGGAATGGAACTCTAATATTAGATAAAGTAGTTTTCTCTAGTTTATATTTATGTTTATATGCGTAATTTTACTTTTTTCCTCCTGTATTGTGCATGCATTATAAATAAAAATTATGTTAATCATTAAAAAAAAAAAAAAATTAACTAATACTAATTACCGGATACTACAAATAGTATCCTTGAAAGTATTTCCAATGTTCTTGTACAATGTTCAACGACTGATGTCATCACCAAGTGAAAAACGCTAGCCACATGAAATTTCTGACCGGTGACTACAGTGTTTTTATAAATTAAATAGAAAACCATTGAATCTCGAAATAAACACAACATATGTGAGAATCAAGAAAAACAAAATGTATAAGCGAACAGCAAATACTTTCCTCCTTCTCTTTACCATGGTTCTTTTATTTGGGTAAGATTAGTGATCCTTATTCCTTAATCTAATACCACTGATATCGTGAATTACTGCGTTCACTGTATGTCATCTTGATTAACTAATGATTCAGTTTCTCAGTGGGAAAGAATTGTGACTAATTAAATAAAAAATTTTAAAAGATATCAAGCAATAAAACACTGTGGCGCATCTTTTTTAGGATTTGTACAGAAATTGGTTCGACACACTCGATCATCAGTGAGTTTACCGCATATCATAGAATTAAAGGCGTTGGTTTTTTGTATCGAGAATTTCGGTGAAAATTCGCTCTTTTTTGTGTTAGCTGTTATATCATAGCTCTTTGTTATTTAGGCTAT